TGTTGGCTACATGTACATCCCTACACAATTTCTTTCCCCATCGGCTCAAACTTTTTCTCTGATAATAAATTGTAGTTTATTTCCTATGAGGGCTATTTCATGTCAGTGTCTGGTATAGAAACATATTTTTTTACTGTTGGCTGGTATATACTGAAGGGGAGAATCATAGGCCATGGGAGAATACAGACTAGATATCTGACTTCAAAGTCAAGGTCAGAACTCAATGTAGCTCTGCTATTTTCAGGGTTGTTTCCCTTGTCACTGAACAAGTGAGTAGGAAGGAAGGAAGAAGGAAATTCACAAAATGCCATTTTACACTTTTTAAAGGTCATTAGTGTAATGTTATCCATGTCATACGTTAAAAAAGGTCATTGTCGTTTTTCTCAATTTTTTATGATGTGTTCGTAGAACATGAAAACGTACATACATGTAAGAGTCCATGGTTGCTAGTTGCCACAGAGTATGAACATACCGGTACATGTACAAGTTTGTACACTAATTTTACTTTTATGGTTTACAATAATATTGTGTTATTTACTGTAAATGCACAACCCTATGTACACTGTAGGCCTACAAAGTAAAATGAATATGGAATTGTTTATGAATTATGCAATTAAGATACTTTATTAGTCTACGGTACGCTACTTTTATTTTTTGTCTTTCTTCTGTGTCTCTTTAACAAATGATTGTAAAAAAAGCTAAAATATTTTGCCATTATCTCTACACAATTTCAACTTTTCTTTCTCTAGGAGAGATAATGCACAGGTCAGTGATGATTAGATGAAATCATTGTCATGGCCTACATTTAAGCATATATCCTGATTGATTTTTCCAATTTCCTGCTCATTATCCCTTCTCTCTCTCCCCTCTTCATCCCGTCTTTCCTCTGTTAATCTGTGACGTCACTCCCACCATGACTCATTCTTCAGCTCTCTCCCAAGCAGAGAGAGACAGACACCGAAAAGAGAGAGAGAGAGAGAGAGAGAGAGGAGAGAGTTTTGAGTCGAAGTGACATGACTTCGACCTGTGACCTCATGAGAGCCTGGGAACCCTGGGTAGACCAAGTTAAGGGGTGGTCGACAGGTCTGTAGGTGGTTGGTTGGTACTGGCAAGTGCAGTTACGCATGCATGCATGCAAGTTGAGCAGCTGCGACAGACGGAGAGATTGGGTTTGACCAGAAATCATGATTTTTGTGTAGTACATGAAAGAACCATATTCATGATTTCAAATTACAGTGTCGACAGGTCCCACTGTCAATTTCATTCATGGTTTGAATCAACTTTTCACCGCTATATGTTAGCTCGCAGGGCCACATGCTCTAAAAGTGGCACATTTCACTTGTCAGAATTACTGGTATTTCAATTGAAATAGTGTAAAGCGATGCTACCACCAAAAACATGAGTGTAAATATGTACGCTATGTAGAACTGAAATAAACATCATTAGCGATCAGACAATAACAATGATTGTTCATGGTTGCCATTTGGTTACATCAACAGGTATTTTTTTTAAGTAAAGGTATTCGTAAAAAGTAAGAGAGAGCCATTGTTATGTCTTATCTAAGCCTTATATGGATGGGAAATACCTCTGACACTAATATCATTTAAAAATCACATTGACAGATTGTATGCAAAAATGTAAGAAATGAACACAATAACAGTTACATTATTTGTCACATTATAACATTTAAAATAGAGGTTCAATTGATTCGCTGTTCATCTGGTTGTCCATTGGGACTTGGCTTGTAAACTCTGCTTCCTATAAAATTACAAGCCAACTGAAGAAAATAAGACCCTTCTTTTTAACATCATAAAGTTCAGGCACAAAAGAGTGATTGTGTTCAGTGCTGTTTGCCAAGTTCATACCAAAACATAACTGAAATAGCATCTTTGCCGAAAGCTGTTTGCTTGGTGCAGGATTACAAAAGAGATGCATTTTTCCTTGTATGATACCCCATCGTTGAAATAATTGAGTCAAAACCACACTTAGGTCTACATTAAACCATATAAATGTCTTCTTCATTCCAAAACAAAACAAATTTTCTTGACCCAGTTTACGGTTACTCATGAATAATCATGCTTTATTGTATGACCTTTATCTGCCAGAAGCTTCAAAACCCACTTCTACGTTAATCTTATGTTGCCTACACAGTTCCACTTCCACAATTCAATTATTTAGATAAGATTAACAGTGAACATAATGCTACTTCACATGGAGCTCTCCAGAAAGAAGGCAGTCGGCTCATAATAAGTATTATAAAAGGCAACGTTTTACAAATTAAGGTTCATAAGGTTTGCTCCAATTTCCAGCAAATTGCAGAAAACTAGGATGCATCTTGGGTTTCACTTTTCATTTTCTCTCAACCTTGGCCAACTTTTGCAGGGACCTTGCTATGTTCACATGACATCTTCCTCTGTGGATACTGGTGTAGCTACTGATTTGAAGTGGGGGCAAAAGAGGACATTTTCAACCCCCTCCCAGCTGGTATACAGCATCTTGATTGGGGATGAGGGAGGGGATGAGGGAGGGGTACATGGTTGAGGAGGAGGAATCAAGGGGGCTATTATGGACTGTATGGTAGAGATCATTGGAGGAAAGTAAATATGAACTGTTGTCAAAGAAAACAAAGAGGGTTTCTTGGTGCTGCTGCTAGCTAACCTACTCCACAGTACTACCAATCTGACCTCTTTTTGCCCTCAACACAGTCTTTACAGAAGGGACCACTCTCTATTGAAAGTGGAGGGAGAAAACTGAAATATGAAGCAAAAAGGAAATACAGAAGTGTTTTCTGTTTCAACTGGAAAGAATTGATTGGGTTTATCTAACTTTGTTAATGGGTGATTGAAGGGGTAAGCACAAATTACAGTCAGAAACAGTAAGGAATGGAGGCCAAGTCAGGGATGCATACAGTCTATATATATCAAATAAATGTATTTGATTAAAAGAAAAATGCTAAATCAAAGCAGAAAATGGGAATGAAAGAACTACGAGGGGAATTCCTTGAGGATTTGTGTCAGAATCTCTAATCTGGATGGTGTTGGGACTGTTGCTGGTAGCCATGAACTACTTGCTTGAAGTCTATAGGAAGAGACTAATATTTCACTCCTTTGAAGTTTGAACTGCAGATGTAGAACTCTTTGATTGATATGCTCACATCTGGACAACACTTGTAAGCTCAACTCAAGACAAGCCCGGAACCATACTGGGCAAAATTAGACCATTAATCAGTTGCTTTCTCCTCCAGCTATTTCAAGGGGGCCTTCACACTGTTGCCAATCTTGCATACAGGACTACCAGGGTAATAGTTGCAGTGCCTTACAGTTGTTACAGTGCCTAATTGTACTTTGGTTGATTTGGTTGGTACTTAAACAGGAAATGACTACATCAAATGCACACTTCACACTTTCATCTTTTAATGCATTTTATCATCAAAATAAGACTTTACTCCAAACTATGGTTCAAACTGCTTCCTCCTGGTATTCTGGTAATAACCACCTAAAATAATAGCCAAGAAAATGTGCTTACTTCTTTATATAAAGAAAGGCCCAAGGGCATTTTTTTTTTAATGATTACATGGACTGTACATAGGCCTTAATGTAGGTCAATTTGAGGTGAGTATAAATTGATCAGGTTAGGGGAGGGGGGCATAATGTAATATAAATTAGGTTTCTTCCTTCATTTACAGAAGCACCATAGAAGTCTCAAACAATAAAAAGTCATCTCCTGTACTTATAAAGTGGTGATAAAAGTAGGTAGTAAAACAGATTTTAACTCTATACTGTTTCTTTACAATTACATGTTTACAAAGGTAGTCAGGCAAAGAAGGCATAACACTGCATGTATGTATTTGACAGGAATGCTGAATAGAGATATCCCATTAAAGAAAGATACAGTAATACATGTACATAGAGAAAGACAGACAAGGGGGATAGAGAGAAAGAAAAAGAGAGAGAAAGACAGAAAGAAAGAGAGAGAGAGAGAGAGAGAGAGAGAGAAAGAGAAAGAGAGAGAAAGGGAGAGAGGGAGAGAGAAAGACAGAAAGATAGAGAGGGAAAGAGAGAAACAAAAAGACAGACAGAATGACAAAAAGACAGACAGAAAGACAAAATGACAAAAAGAGAGAAAAAAAGAGAGAAAGATAGAGAGGAAGAGAGAGAAAGAAAAAGAGAGAGAAAGAAAAAGAGAGAGAAAGAAAAAGAGAGAGAGAGAGAGAGAGAGAGGGGGGCAGGAAAAAAAAATGATCTAATGGTACTAGAAGTTTAGAACTATAGTACAGAAGTTTAGAACCATAGTATGTGTCCAGTGGACTGCAAAGGGTCAAATTATGGTCAGAGGAAGCAATAGCGCTGCTTTTAACTTCTATTTGAATTGTGTGTGAAGGTATGCAAGCACACAGCCTAAACAAATTTAGAATAACCATGCTAATGATGTATAGTTCGGCTTCACATGAAACTAATGCACATCTACAAATCTACTTTCCTCCCTTTTATCAATACCGTATCACATGAGAAGAGGTTCCCCCTTCTCATACAAAGGACATTTTCTAAGTTTTATGGTAGGCAGTAAGGCACTTAGTACATACCATTATCAATACAAATCATACAGCAGTATATGTTTTCAAAATCAAACAACTCAATTACATGTAGATAAGAATATTTTATGCATACAGAGAGCACTCGGAGCAGAATTGGATATCTGTGATTCAGCTCATATTTTACCCACATTTTTTTTTATCCATGATTGCTTAGTTTCTTCCTTTCCTCATACTATTGGTCTTTCCATGCTCTCCCGCATCCAACACAATCCTGGGGGGCGTTTCACAATACTTGTCATCAGTGACAAATGACAGTTCTTGTTATAAGCTACTGAAATCCTTGCTTCTGATTGGTTATCAGCAGATTAACCCTAATCCTAAACCTATAAAACCTTCATCTTTTATGAAAGAAAACCTGGAACAAATGTCAGGTCACTAAATGAAGACCTGTGTCTGTGATACTTACCATACCGCCACATAGACTGACCACAGCACTGGATTCTGGATGTCCATTCACATGCCCCGCATAAAAACAATGAATGCTATTATCCTCATCATGAATATCCACATTGCTCTTTCCCGACACATGAACACTGAAAGATGGCGACAGAAAAGATGCATCATGGTCCAAATCCAAAATAAACTGTTCTCCAAATGCTTCCACACGATATTGGGCTGATTGTCCACTATTAAGAGCCTCTTGCTGCTCTGAAAATGTTGCACTTCGTTTTTGAAAGTGACGTTCCCCTGTATGGGTATCGCCTTGTTCCAAGCGAACGGGTATCACTATCTCTGACAAAGTCCATGAGGGCGGGTGTGATCCTGAATGTAAAATATGAGAAAGAGAAGACATTGAATGAATGAACTCGTAAAAAGTCAATCAAAGAAATGTAATCATATAGTGGCAATGACACTCAAGTTATTTCTCTAGCTTCGCATGAAATAGGATGAATTATCTTTTGTTGGTACATCGATATGAACTACAGTATTTTCAAGCCTCAGTTAGATTTTAATTTGAGCCCTAAAGATAACACTTCATTTAATACGACATGACGTGGCTACAATATACCTTGATTGATCATACTTATATGTGGTATACATTGTAGCTAGACGATAGAGCTACATTCTGTATGATTGAATGAGCTAGGCGATGCATAGGAAGGGTCATGCAATCTAACATGGCAATATTGACTTTGAAAGATTATTGACAAAACAATGAAGGATTGGGTGCTATTTGATCAGTCAAATATGACATGTGAAGATCATAATAGCTCTTTTATTGTGTGCGTTGTTGAGAACTTGAGACCTCAAGGTCAGTGCGAGTGAATGGAGATAATATGTAATGTACTGTATGAATGTTAGCAACATAACGGACCATGAACCCTCCCCCCCCCCTCCCTCTCTCCCCAGCCACAAATACTGTCTTTCATATGAGCTGACTGCACCTCCCAACTCCTTACATGCAATAAACATGACCATTACATGAACCTCCATTCCTGAAAATAATATTGAATGAACAGATTAAGAATACACTAGCTTCTTTATCACTGGCAACAGAGAAACAGATTGTCAGCACAGAATTTTTTCTCCTTTGCCTTTGGCGATTCTAGACACAGGGCCGGGCTTTGGGCCTGGCTTAGCAATGTATCAAAGGTAATATTGCATACTGTAAGGATTCCCCTTTGCAGCAAGCAGACTTCAAAATGCCTTCTCAATAATTTGAAAAAAAATCTTCTCATGAAATGTTTCGACTTGGTTTTGAGAGTGAGGAACCCTCTCTCTCTCCATGCACTCCAATTCTATCAACATGATCAACCTATAAATATTCTAAAATCTTCTCACAAGAATATTTCTAGCTTATTTCTGTCTTAACGGTTCCCAAAAAAAGTTTCCAAAGTGATCTGCTCATGATGACCCACGTTCATTCAAAGGTAAACAATCAATCATTTTATCACTGATAACGCAACATGCAAGAACAAAGTGCTTTCCGAAAATAGGTCACTTACCGGTGAATTTACCGTTGGATCCAGAGGCACCATCAAAAAGTACACAAGCGCAGCACATTAGCATCCAACACCACACAATTTGCTTTTCATTCATGATTGCTGGAATTGTTTTCTACACTGCATACTACACTACAAATCCATCCATTCATAAACCAATCAGCTGGGGTAATAGAGCTAGCTAGGCCCAGAGCCAAGAAAATAGGGTCTACTACGCTGCTCAAATCCTAATGGCACCTCTCCAAAGAAAACGATATAGAAGCTCGTATTGAACTACTGAGCTCTTTTTCGCCGGTACCGGGTGATGTTCACACCGAACAAGGACCCATATCGCCTGCTACAATCCCGGGGAAATACTCCTGGTAAAGTGCATACAAAGTGCCCGGTGCATGACTCAGTGCTCTGCTAGCTTTTCGCTGTGCACAAGAAACGCATGATTGAACTAAGGGGTGTGCTATGACTTTAAACCACGCCTCCAAAATATTTTGAGTAGCCAATCACGAGCCTAAAACGATAAAAGTTTCCAAACTTTTCGATGTATTTGGTTTCATTACTTTCATTCCTTTGTTTTTGTAAAAGGTAAACAAAATTGAGAAACACAAAGTAATTGTTAAGCCATGGAAATGCACAGTGATCTCATATTCCTGAGGAATTGCGTATTTTTACAGTCATTGATTTGTTTTGTAACATAAAGTTGTAAAAGGGGTGCAAGCGCCAAGCGGGGTGCAAGTAACAGATTAATGTGTTCAGTGCTTGTTGAGGAAAACAACCGGCCCAGATTCGTAAAAAGTTCAAACTCATTGAATATGATAATGTACCCCAGTGGTATTGTCTTATCCCATCTAAAACATTATATCTGCCAGGTTGTATGCTGTTATACGAACTCACATTAGGGATGTGTAGTTTAGTTCACAAATTATTATTAGTGGAACATTAATCTACAATCTGCGTCTCGTACTAAATTAGATTTCCATTTTTGTATGTCAGTTGTACTACAACTTGTAGTGCATTTGCTGGTAAATTGCGTTCGAATAGAAACTTCACTGTGTGCCTCTCTCTCTCTTTAACATAGGTTATAGTACATATTAATCTTGTGATTTTAATTATTGTAACTGTTCACTCTTTCAGGTAATAATGAATCGCAAGGTTCATAATTATAGATGTCCTGACAGTTATATCCTTTAAAGTCTTCAAGTAAATATTGTAGAAAAGTGAAGTGTGAAAAGTATATTGCTTGTTTTATACTATAGTTTTGCTACGGAATGTAATTTTTTAATACAACAAAACTTCAAAAACTTGTGAGGGGGTAGTCACTTCTGTCACCTTGGCCCTCTCGTCCACTCCCTCGCACTGGCGTAATGATGGGGTGGCTTGGGGCAGTTGCCCCCCTAGTCAAATTCAAACGTGGTTTATATCTAATCGATACCAGTGATTTACAAATGTTGCTGAAATGGCATGGTTTTTCCCTGAGCATCCGGGGGCTCTGCCCCTGGATTCCACCAAGGGCCTTAAGGCAGGCCCCTGGTTGCTTATCTGACCGTAATTAAATACCTTTAAAAATATGAGCTTCCTGGGGCTCTGCCCACTGGACCCCACCAAGGGCTCTAAGGCAGCCCCCTGGATGCTCATCGGCTGATCGCAATTGAATGCCTAAAATCCTGTAGGGGTTACGTCCCCTTTACCCCACTCCAATTAGTGACCTGCATGCCAGTGTCACAAATAAGGTATATAAATAATTATGCTCATCCGACTGTAATAAATGCCTAAAACCCTTGAGCTCCATGGGGCTACACCCCTTGACCCCCCACCGGGGCTTTGTCCCTGTACCCCCACGATAATTTACGCTCCACTTGCTTCGCTCGCTTTGCTCTACCTGATCGTAAATACTTTAGCCCCCCCCCCCCGAAAAACGTTCCGCGTGGCCTGCCTGCATGTAACATGTAAGAGTGGGGATGATACAGATTTATTTTTTCTGCCCCCCCCCCAACGTTTTTGCTCATTACGCCACTACTCCCTCGTCCCTCGCATTTCGCCCCCACCCCCCGGTCGTGAAAAGAAATCGCCGCCCCTGGTTATACTCAATATCTTCATCCCCCCCCCCCCCCTCCTCCTCCGCCTTCTTCCGTTTTACTGCTTTTTCCCTTGTTTTCTTTATTCACCGTGCAGTCGAGAACACATACCCCGCTACTTGTTACATCCATATATTCTCTTACTTAATATTTTGTTGTGAGTAAAAACGAATTTCGGATGATGAATTTCAGAGGGAAATGAGTTAGAGAAACTTGAACGCATCAGAAATTTTATTAAAAAACATTTTAGTTGCCTTTTATGGTGGGGAAAATATTAAATGATGGAGCAAAGCGCACAAAAACAGATTCAGAGACCTTTTGGAATATTTTTTTTGTTATGGATGTGTTTGAACTAAGAGCACATCACACAGAGAAGATGTTATTATTTCAAATCACAGGAGGGACATTTGTTCACATTGTAGAGGCACTTTTGGTCACAGTCATGCAAGACACTTTTCTTTAGAAAGATTTGGGACATCAGCGTTCCCTTAAATTAATGTCCCTTTGTTCCAGCGACGCCGGTATTCAATATCTTGAAATGTTTTTGTTCTGCTCCAATACTTTTCGTTATGATGTTTCATATTCCCGACAGCTCTGCCACAATTAGCTTTAAAATTAAAGAGAATAACACAAAAATATATTGAGTTCTGGTCATGCGATTGCATTTTGAAAGAAACGGAGTGGAATTGATCAGAAAATGTTGATCATCTAGCATATAAGTATTGGTGTGTATTGCAAGGTTCTGGAATCATTAATTAGAAAATTTGGCACAGTCTTGGTAAAGTCATAAAGGCATAAAAACCCGTCCCAATTTTTATGATGTTACATGCCATATTTAGAATATTAAGGCGTTTGAAGAGCATGCTTTTCAGGGAACATTTTTTTTATCTGATTTTCTTCCACACTTGCATAATACAATGATAATCCCCAAACTGTGAACAAATTGGGCAATATTTTCCGACACTTTACCCAAAGTTGTGCCAATAGTCAACCCAACCATCTATTGGGCAATATTTTCGTATTTTGCCCAACAGCTGGTCGAGATTTTCCGAACAAGTGGGCTGCCGTAGTCGGGCAGTTGAAGGGTCATATCTTTGCCCAAATTTTGGTCAAAATACGAAACAATTATGCACGTGTGAAGTAGGGTACTTACGTTTACCAATACCACTGGGCAAAGTGTTGGAAGAATATTGCCCAACCTTTTCGCAGTGCACAAGTTATTTTTTACCTCTTCCCAGAACTCAACCTTCTCTTTAACTGATAAACAAATCAGTGAAATATGTGTATGATTCTACCCAATTTTTAGATAGATAGACGGATGAATTGATTGATTGATTGATTTTTATTCGCCAAGCTTCCAATATACAAGAATAACAGATCAAGTAAGCTTGAACAGGATATCCCACGTATATATATATATGTACACAATTGATAAGTTAAAATAGTAATATTTACAGACAGATAAGAAAAAAAACTTACTAAAGATAATAATGTTGATAATAATAATAGCATTAAACTGATGATAGAAATGATTAAAAGTACAAGAAGAAAAAGACAAATAGATATAGCAGATGAAGAGATAGATATACAGGTTAAATTAAGTACCAAAAAAAGATAAAACCACAGATAATATCATATATAGAGATACATTTATAAGTAAAAGTTAGGTATCGAGCTAGTTGTATATAATTATAGACTGTTAAAGTAGCCAAAACATAATGTAAAGAAAGAGATGGATTGGTAAAATGGTATTGTGGTCGAGTGGATACGTCGCCGAACTGTTGATCACAATGTCCGCGGTTCGAGTCCCGCCGCGGCACTAATGTCCTTTGGCAAGACATTGATCTACATTTACCACTCTCCACCAAGATACCCGGTAGGATGCGAAAGCCAATGTGGCATGCTTAGCAATTTGAGCCTAGTAGCTTTTGTTGGAATGCTCCCCAGGGAGTTGAGAAAGTGCATACATTGTGTGCAGAAACCGATGACCGGGGTAATAATGTAAAGCGCTTAGAAACTTGGACATTCCCGACGTATTAAGCGCTATAGAAGCAAAAATATTATTATTAAAATTGTATAAATCGACTTAATTTATTAATTTATTAAAAACGTCTAGTGTTTCATTATTGATAAATTAATTACGTTTATGTATCAATTGACATTTTTATTGATATATACTGATCGATTAAGTTGATTATTTAAGTGTTTAATCCTAAAATGCTCTTGTACTTTAGAAATTTATAGAGTATCACAAGGGGGCGCTAGATAACGCCTCAAGCAGTCACGTTGATACTCGTTGAATATTTTTTTTAATAATTTTTATCCACGGATGTTTGAAAGAAGTCATAAGAAATAAACTAAAATTATGATATTTTACGTAGTTACATTAGATCTATAGCTTCTGAAAGTGATATGTGGCTGACGCTCGATTGTATAAATAATTATCAACTTTGCAGTTGCCACAATACCCGGCCACAATAATGGTAGGATATTCACTAATTATTGAAAATAACCTCGTTCGTTTGAACAATGCTTTATTCATTTTCAAAATGGGTGGTATTATTTGTTTTTCACAGTTTAAACAGAACAATGTATGAATTTGATAGTACCGGTATATGCCTACTTAGAGAAGTGAAGATGGATTTACTACACCATATCTCCCTCAACCCCCCCTTCTCTCTCTCTCTCTCTCTCTCTCTCTCTCTCTCTCTCTCTCTCTCTCTATCTATCTATCTCTCTCTCCGTCTCTCATATGCTTGAATGCTGTTTTATTCATCAGTTTAGAAATGAATTACAATTTTGATTAAATAAAGACAAAAGTGAAAATTGTTATTCTTCAGCAGGTTGTGATGTAGTCTCTCCAAGAATTGTGTTGTGATTTGTGACCCGTTCAGGCTCAGCATTATACATTCCCTATGAGTTACTTCCTATGTTATAGCATGTTTAGGGACGGTATGTTTCATAACAGATAATTATTTTTCAAATTATATTAATAACTGCTAGCATTTCGTACGTGAGACCCACGAGTGGACTAAACTCGTCGATTTTGTTTTCTAGCGCCATCATACGACGAATTACAGATAGTGTTTCCTTGGTGACTGATTGTAAATACCGACTTTTTTGCAAGTCAAGCCGGCGAAAAACAACAGTGGAAAATTGACAAAATTATTATATTATACGGACACATAATGATTTTTTGAAATTGATACGTATTAAATACACGAGCACCATGTCTCATAGGTAAGTGACAATTTCTAATACAATTTATAAGTGTGCTATTGATGGTTTAGTGCCAAGTTAGTTTCCCGCGAGACAGTTTTGTATGAGTCCCATGCGTTCAAAATTGTGTTGTATATTGCGAACAGTTATTTGATTTTGAATGCGGGTGCTCATTCCTAAATTTGATTTTGTTTTGTTCAGGACTAGTACTAGGATACATATATACTATTATTGAGAGCATGTATTATACTAAGTAGAAACTTTGTCTTCAATACTTAAAAAAAAAATCTTAGGCTTGCATGCAACTTTTTGCAATAATTGAAAAAGAATTGACCCTCCTTTGTTTTTTAATATCTTTTTAAAATAAATTTGTGAATTTGACATGTGATGAAATCTAGTCTTTAATTGAAAATATATTTATATCCTCACAAGTTGATTGCCCTTTTCCATTTTGCAGCTACTACCAAAAGCAGTGGCTAGAAGCACAGGATAGCCTCAATGACCTGCTCATACAAGAGATACCCCCTGAGCCACCCAAACCTGAGAAAGATCGCCTCACAGCATTCCAGAACATCGCTACCCTTTACCTCAAATACCTCCAGATATTCCGTAAAATTGAAGGATGCTACGACCAGGTTGTTCACCCCCAGAAGCGGCGTGTACTTCGTCGCATGCTGGATGGTGTTATGGGGCGGTTGATTGAGCTCAAGAATGAGATGGTTCTTCTGGAGTTCTCTGAATTCCACTACTTTGATGACATATTGTCTGATCTTAAATTGACACCAGTAAGTTATTTTAGTTGTCGAATGGTATTGTATAATTTTTTTGCAATTTTCTTCCTATTTTGGTTCTTTAGTTTTAATCATGTTAACCTGCTTGATCAGAGTCAGTCCCAATAGTACAACTCTAAATAATGAGAACATTTTCAAATACATTGCTAGTTTATAAACTTTCTATGAATGGGTTTTAAAACTTTCTGAAAAATTATGTGGAGACCGACAACATTCATTTAGCTTTCATTATTTGAAGTAAGTAATTTGAACAAGAAATTTGAATGTTGTGACTCTTGCCTCCCTCACAGAATGACATTGAGATTCCAGTCCCAAAGTACTTCATTAATGAGAGGGCAAAGGTGCTGCAGGACCGTGAGAAACTCCTCGGTCAGATCCTGGCCAAGATGGGACCTCCCGAGGAGAAGACGGAGGAGATCAAGATGTCCCCGGATGAAGCCATTCGCATCATTCAGGTTCACGAGAGAGCTCGACAAGGGCGTCTCAGGGCCAAGTTCATGAGAGAGATTCGTCTCCAAGAAGAGCGGGAAAGGAATGCAGCCAACAGAGGTGCTCCCACGCTGGACACAGAGCTGGCTTCAGTTAGGATCCAAAAGGTATACACCATTGATGATTCCTAGTTAATACAGACATTATGTTAGCGCATTGATTACTGGATTCTTCTACATTCAATTCATGTATGTGTGTTAATAGCTGTGCTATTAGATATCACATTGTAAAATTTGTCAGTTCCATATAGCATGAAATATTATTCAAAATATGAACATTTTGGTATTAAATCATGTGAAAATATATTAATTAAAGGGAGACATGGTGATTTGATTTTCATGACAACTTAATTCATGTTGATTCACTTGATTGATTTACTAAAACAGGATTATCAAAATTGGATCAAATTTTTTTCTTCTATTCCCTGATCTGAAAAGTCAGTCATGAGAAACTAAAGATATGATGCTTAAATCACTTATTAATAGTACTGTCATTAAGAATAAATTATAGCATAGTATGATATTTAATTGTCCATCTTTCATAACAGACTTGGAAAGGTTATGCAGTCAGAAAGAGGATCAGGAGAGAAAGAGAAGAAGAAATGAGATTCATTGGTATGGTAAGTATCTAGATAACTGTAACTATTGAATATGTTTTCCAGCATGTAAAATTAAATGTGAACTATATCATTTTATAGGATTGCTGAGAAAGGAGCATAAACAAATCACAAAGTTAATTTACTATATTTTATTTCAAATACATTGTTTTTTTGTATATTGATTAAGAGCTCTATGCTGAATTGTATATACAGTAATTTGAATTATTTGATTTGTTTGGTATGTTTACAGTCTTTACAATCTATAGTATAATCAAAATAGTTTGCATACTTATAGTTATCTTTCTTGTTAACAAACTGCAATAATGTTGAGCCTATGTACAGTATCTCAATAATTCAACAATCAAACTGTTAAATGGTTGAATATTTTATAATTTCCATTTTGTGTGAATGCACTTTAACTTTCTTGGTCTAGATCCCACCTCGTGACCCCACCAACCCCAAGAACACCTCCCAGGTGCTGGCTGAACGCACCGAGAAGACCCGTCGCGTGACACAAGCCGACCATGAGAGGGAGTATCAACAAAGTCTGGTCAGTATCAAGACCAAATTAAGGGAAGTGGAAGGTCCAGATATGAAGGAGACCATGCAAGATCAGATCAGACAGTGGTTTATTGAATGCAGGTCAGTATAACATCCAAATTAGAGAACTAGGCCATATCTATAACATAGCATATTGATGAGAGGTAAATGTGTGAATTGGTCAAATCATCTGCTCTGTTTTCTGTGTTTTTTTGTCTAATGTAAATCTATAAATGTGAATATGTTTTAATTTTGCATAATCTTCTGAATACAACTTAGAAGGTGCATCGTGGGAAATTAAATAAGTGAGCAATTGTTTGCTTAGATGAATTAGGCATGTCATTGATGTTAACGATTTATTCATCTCTTCCATTATCAGAGATGCTACAGGAAAGTTTCCTGACTACCCTGATGAAGATGAAGGAGGATCAGCAGCAATATTCAGAGAGAAAGATCCAGCAGAGGTAACCTTGTTTATCATTATTTCAACTCTGTTATGATATTTGCCATATGATATTGAAGGTTTTATTTGATAAGTGATTTTTTAAAAATTATTGCTGATGAAAAATGAAGTAGATATTGAGTTGGTAAAAATTATAATAACGCATGATAAGATTTATTTAATTTTAGTAGTTTCTAATGAATTTACTGATTTTTTTAAATACAGATCCTTCAATTTGTGTTCTAGAGGATGTACTGGTGGTAGTTGGGTCTCTGGTTGTTTAGATTTCATTCTTGATACATCCTCGATAATTCATAAAGATTTTTTTTTAATTTAATTTTTTTTAATATATTTTTTAGATGTGAAAAGATGAGTTTTATATTGTGCCATCTCATTTGCTAGATTGAGGCAGAGCTGGCTGGTAAAGAAGATGACAAAGGAGGCAAAGGGAAGAAGAAAGGAAAGAAAAGTGCCAAGAAAGATAAGAAGAAAGACAAGAAGGACAAGAAGGGCAAGAAAGGAAAGAAGGGGAAAGGTGGAGATGATGATGAAGAAGAAGAAGGCTTCAAACTCCAGCAATCAAACTTCCTCCCTGATACTGATGGTGCTGCGAAAGATTTCTCTGGTAAAAAAAAAATTCACAGTCCGATTTGTATGTACATACCAGAAAGCATGAAGCGAACAACTCTTGTTGATGAAATATCTGGAAATATTCAAACAGTTTACTGTCAAAATTATATTAAAACTTTGAAATTTGTTCATTTTTACCATGAAACTAGATTGTGTGAAAAAAGTATGGTATTGTAAAGAAAGAAGTTGGCAATTTAAACACAAATAAAGCTCTTACAGTCAGTCCTAAATGTCCTTTAGTGAAGAAAGAAATGAAGTTGGAAATTAGTTGACTAATATGTGAGTTTTTTTTTCTAATGTAATTTATAAGATACAAGTACCAGCAGGTCATTTGATACTTTTACATTAATTGGTTTCTATTGAATTTTATTTAAAATGATTTCAGTTAATGACATACATGTTTATTTATTTAGTGATTGTGTTTTGTCAATTAAAAGGTATTTGGAAAGAGAGGAACGAGGAGTCTAACTTCAGTCAGAAACCTGACTCTGAACTAATAAAGGAAGAGAAGCGCATTGAGGTTGAGAATGAAATAAGAACGCAGGTCGATGAACTCATGAGAACTGAACTGAAGAACCTCAAGGTGGTGAGTATATGCCCTCTCCAAAATGATTGATTAATACACAATAATCAATTAACTCAGAACTGGGCCCATTGTACATAACTAACCATTGATGGTAACTTTGCCATCAAGGATAACTACCATGGAAACCTTGATTTTGATTGGCTGTTGAGTCCTGTTACCATGGGAGTTGTCATTGATGGCAAATTTACCATCAATGGTTAGTTTTGTGCAACGGGCCCAAGAAAATTGTTGAATTAATATAGAGGGATGAGAGATCCGAGTTCAAGGTTTGGGTACAATTGCCTCCTTAGATCCTGATGACTATTACAGCCTATGGCTACGAGCAACTACAGGTGCAATACACCACGTATACATGCTAATCCTTTTTAAAGATTGTACTAGTTTTAACATTCATATGGTGTGACCTTCCTATACACAGAACCTCTATTTAATGTCTGGACATGGATCAAATGTGTTTCAGATGAATTAACTCCAAGGCCCCTTTTCACAAAACTTGTCATCAGTGACAAATGACAGATTTTGTTTTAAGCTTAGTGAAATCCTTGCTTCTGATTGGTTATCAGCAGATTTGTCACTGATTTTTGTCAATTGTCATTGAAAATTGTCATTGAAAAAAGGCTTTGTGAAACAGGTCCCTGCACTATTTGACAGTGGTGAGGCACAAACAATAGACTTTTTGTCAGCATGTACGTTTACTTTGATGAGAGGTACAATGTGCAATCAGTTACTGGCTAATAAATAGCGCTTTTGTCAACTTTAATATCATGACTTTGAAAAAAAATGAGGACTAACTGCTAAAGATATTTTAATTGTATATATATATATATTCACATATGAGCTATTCTGAATCCCTGACAACTTTCTGATTTGAATTGTATCAACATTGAAATGTATTTGACTTTTATTAATACTTGAATCATGAATGTCCATTGCCATTATGCAAATGAATAACCTCTCTCTTAATCCTTTAGGTCTTGGCAAATGCTAATCGAGTACCAGTATGTTAATAGCATATATAACCATGTATAGTTGTGAAAACCTGATGAACTTGTGATTTATATTGTGAAGTAGATTCACCAGAATCCTTTCCTATCTTATAATTATCACAGAAAATTAGCTGTAGCCTTATTATGTCAAATTGCAACAACAACAAACAAATAATGCTCTCTCCGCACATCTGATCTTATTCCACAATGTCCTATATTCAGCCCTTCTACTTTCTGTTTCTAAATGATAGGCAATTTACTGTCCTCTATACATGTACATCATATATAATTTTAAATTCATTTTCTGACCAGTTTACTAATCAATCTGCACATTTTCCCTCTCTATTTGAGGGTTGTATTTAGTGAATATTTAAAATGACATTGTTAGTTCACATACATTCACAATTAGAATACTGTCCCACTTTCTTGTAATATTATTTGTCACTGATATTATCACAAATGTACCTTTTACTAATTATACTATCCTCCAACCCTATATATTTTCTCTGAAAACTTTAGTGTACTGTAGGATCATTTATGATTAAACATGTGATGTAGATGAAATTGAGCATAAAATGAATAAATGTATGATGTAAGATCAGAAATCTTCAATGTTTGATGAAAGGATTTTTCTTCAGTTTTTAGTTTGGTTGCTAGACAAACAACCCAAGACAATGACTTTAATTGGTTACCAAATTCAAATTTCCTGATATTGTATGTACTGGATTATTATACATTAAAAAAATATGAAAATAAATCACATTTAACATTAATTGTACTGCATATTTCATGAGATATTTGGTTGCTACACAGCCTACAAAGACTCCAAAGATAAACAACAAGAACTTAGGTCCCTAATTAATGCCTTCTTTGAAGTAGATCTTGTGTCAAATTTGATATCGTTTATAAAAAAAAGTAAGAGATATATGTGAATAATGAAACAAACTGTAGACCACTGATTGACTGATTTATCATTTTATTTCCAGTGAATTGGAAAAGTATTAAATTTGTAATTTTGATTAGATTTGCATATGATAATGATCTAATATTTTCAATATGATATTGTTTTGACTCGATCCCTTCTTGTGATTATTTTCAGGCTGTCGACAGAGACAAGGGTAAGGGGAAGAAAGGCAAGAAGGGCAAAAGTGGAAAGAAGAGTGGAAAGAAAAAGAAGAAGAAGAAGAGTGGCAAGAAGAGTGGAAAGAAAGGCAAGAAGGGCAAGAAAGAGAAGGATCTCACTCCTGACAGGTAAGACATATTCAAAGTGTTGAAAGATATCTTTGATCATTACTGATGAACTTCAATAAAAGCTGTTTTTATGGAAAATGAGATGTTTGTTTTACTATCATTTAAAGAACATTGTATACATTTTCTGACTGTTTGATAGAAATATTCATTTTGTAAATAAATTGTTATGAATGCATACAAAAATAAGTGATCTGAATGTTATTGTTTTCAAAGGTCAGATGTCACCAGTGTAAAATAACAGAGAATTTGTAGTAATTATAGTTAGGTATTAAGTGAAACATACCAGCAGAGAACCTTTCAAGGATGTGGGGTATATATGTACTTCGTACAAATTGTGAGGTAATGGGGGATTGAATTTATAGAATTGATCAAGCAGTTATGAATGTGAAGGATGAAGGATATATTTGAATTGAATGTATACAATTTGTAGTACTAATTTAAAACTTGTTTGTGTTAAGGAACTTATAGGCAAAAGTCAAATTGCATAAGACATCTAGAGGATAAGGAACATTATAGACAATATGGTATTCCTCTAAGTCTTAAAATGGACTTACACTTGCATATAGAGTTGGTTTTGTGAATAAATTGATTTTATTGTGATTTATTTTGTTTCCAGGACTGTTGAGGATCTTTACGAGGAGCTGGTGAAAGAAGGGATCATCGTTCGTTCCCCTAAGTTCTCTCTTCAGGACTACATTGGAGAGTACAGCTACCTGGGTACTACCCTGAGACAGGCCAACATTGAACCTATGCCTTCACTCTCTGATGTCAGACAACTGGTAGCCCTGTATGGAATCCTACCACTTGGTAAGTGGATTCATCTTGCTTTTATGCCCCCCCCCCCAAAAAAAAAAAAAATGAACAATGCAAGCTAATCTAGATGCTGCTTGTAAGTGTCGGCTTGCTTGGTGATGTAGATATACAGTAGGCTTGCGTGTCTAATTGACCAGAGATAATAATGATAATAAAAACATTACTTATAAAGCGCTTACCATCGAAGTCTCTAAGCGCTTTAGTAGTATATTGGCAGGCATTGCTATGTAAATTTATTTATCTATCTTCAAAAGAGTGTCAATATTTTTCAATTTATTAAACCAGGGCCTTCTTGGATAAGAACTAACCCTATACTTGCAAAACTTGTATGATTTATTCCTCATCATTTATTGTAAAGGATTAATGCAGTAAATTTCGCCTAAATTTCGCCGATATCAATATTATTATGATAATTATTTCATTCTATTCTACCTGCAGGATCACAAGCTGTTCATGAGAAGGCCCCGCACATCAAGTCCATCCTTCTGGCAGGACCGCGAGGTACCGGGAAGCGCAGCCTGGTCAATGCCATCTGTACTGAGACGGGCGCCAACCTGTTTGATCTAACCGCCACCAACATCCAGGGCAAATACGCTGGCAAGTCTGGCCTTGCTATGCTGATGCACATGGTCTTGAAGGTGGGCAGACTCCTGCAGCCATCTGTTATCCTGATCAGTGATGCGGAAAGGACATTCCTCAAGAAGGTGCCCAAGACTGACAAGGTGAGATTAATAATGGATTGTGATGAAGCTGTCAGTGAGTACACTTTTGGCTGATTTAAGAAATGTGGTTTAAATTTAATTATTTGCTGAAGATTTTTTTTAAATTTTTTTTAAAAATAAATTCATTTATTTTGTTGTTGTTGTTGATTATACTAGATTAGGTTTCAGTTGATTCCATTAGAAGCTTAAGTTTTGATTTAGAAGCTGTTATATTTGTGATATTTACTTAATCATTCCAAAAATTATTATTGTCATCTTGCAGATCTCCTCACCCCAGTCTGAAGGAGCTCTCATAAGATACCAAAGTTTCTCTATCCTGGAGAAGTTAGGAGTTCCTTTAATCTATTTGTAATGTAGACAAAACAATATTATAAGCCACAAATATGTTTAAAACAATATTTGTCATTATCATTGTCATCTCCCTTGCAGACCGATCCCAAGCGTCTGAAGAAGGAGCTCCCTAAGATGCTGAAGCTTCTAAAGCCTGAAGATCGTGTGGTGCTGGTAGGAACCTCCAGGGCACCATTTGAGTGTGAGATGAAGGGTCTGGTAGGAGCATACCAACGAGTGGTCCTCATCCCAAGACCCGACTACGCCTCCAGACATTGTAAGTCCTTGAATAATTATTCTGTTTAGAAAATGAATGGAGAAAAAAGTGAATTGTAGCTTGCATTGTTTGATTATATTGATCTTTTTGTTTTTAATTGAGGTATATATATATATATATATATATATATATATATATATATATATATATATATATATATATATACACATATATTTCTTTATTTTAAAATGCTGGTGTGGCAGCTAGAAAAATGGAGAATGACAATATGATTGTATTGTTATTCTGGTGATTAACTTAGACCAATGATAGTGTTTTTGTTATCCCTTTTCACATACTAGTCTAGTTTCCTCATTTCCCCTTTGAGGAACCATTTACAACATAACAAAATAACTTATTGAGAAAAACAAAGACAAAGTGTACTCAACGTGTTGCTAATGCACAGTTAGAATTGAAGTATTATGAACAAGGTTAATGAATATAAAAAACATTCTTTATCATGTCAACTTAGGTGCACACATGTTCAAACTTCATTCCTACCTTACTATTTTACTTTCCAGTACTGTGGAGGTCTCTGATCGTCAAGAACAACGGGATACTGAACGCTCAGATTGACATGAGTTCCCTGGCCAAGGTGACAGATGGTTACACCCAGAAACACATCATGACTGCATGCCAGCAGGTCCTGACTGAGAGACGGGTGTCCCAGCTGGCCAAGAGACCCCTGGTAGGGTCAGAGTTCGTCCCGGCTTTGGCCCGTCTGGAACCCATATATAAGGAGGAGGAAGAGGCTTTCAAGGTGGGTGATGAACATTTTTTGTTTTAATTATTATCTGTTCATGATAGTTTCGAGAATGGTATACAACGGTAGATGCAGAATCTTGTAAATGCAAGTGGTTGCAGCTGCCATCTTTTTCTTAATTCAAGAAAATATCCAAAGTAATCACATTCTTAAATGCAAATATAAACCAAGTATTACAGAAAAGTTTATTTCTGTGTTCATTCTTTTACCTGAATAGTATTATGCATTACAATTGAAATAAATGACGTATTGAGCACTTATGCCTGTTGGATAGTAATGCTTCTAGATGGGTCCTGCATAATCATGTTACAAAACAGGTTGTCATTATACTGCTCTCAAAGCAAAACAAATATAAAAAATAACAAAATGATAGATCTGGGTCAAGATCGTCAGATATACATGTAGACATAATTTCTTGCCTTACAAAGAATTATTGATATTGTGATACCATATAAAAAAAAAAGTACCATGGTAACCATGTTTTTTTTTTCCAAATTACCATCCACCATAGTAACCATGGTATCAAACAATCATAAACAAAGGGTCATCAAACAATGAATTTCATTGTTTGATACCATGGTTAATTTCATTGTTTGATACCATGGTTACTATGGTGGATGGTAATTTGAACAAAAAAATACTTTTTTATAAGGGAACGATCGTCGCAGTGGAAAGATATCGTCATTTTTTTCATTTTTCTTAGGAAATTGTTCATGTCATGATTGAGCTTTATCCTGTCAGTACATCAATATCTCAGCCTCTGTATATATATTCTTCATTCATGATATGAAATGGCATTTTATCTCTGATATTAAACTTGTATTTTCATTTCACCTACAGACATGGTATGCCAAGACTCCTCTAGGCAAGAAGAGGGCTAAAGCAGCCGAAGGTGGTGACGAAGATGACGGAAAGAAGGGCAAGAAAGGAAAGAAAGGAAAGAAGGGAAAGAAAGGAAAGAAGAAGAAGTAAACCACTGATGTGCCTTATTAGCAGACTAACCGCATCTCTCAGCTTTCAATACAATCTTCCAGTCATCTGTACTTTTTTGATTTTCTGATTGAAAGAAGTGAAGAACATATGCAACTGACACCTTGATACTGACTTGCAAAAATACAACAAATGAAAGTTCATTGATGTGAGAGAGTTCACATCCAGATGTTGAAACACAAATACAAATTCCTGCCAGTATGTCCTTTTGGTATCTATCAGTGGCTAATGAAAATATGTGTATGACTGTATGTTTAATAATCTTTAAACATATCATGTTTTGTGTATTGTATGCATGAACTGGTGATAACAAACAAATATTTAAGTATATATTGAGGTCAGTTATGTGATTGGTTTAGATTTGACTCTGGAATTTTTTTGATACATAAATGGTATTTTGAAAATGTAATACCGTTCAGCTTTGTCACACCAAATTCATAGCAAATTTAATATTCATGTGCATCATGCTTCCAGGATATAGCTGTTTCAACCTTCTTTTTTTTTGGGGGGGGGGGATGTGTGACTATACCTCAAGGTAGAAATTCTAATTTACAGGGCATGGGAAAAACAAAATAAACAACACTTCTTCAAAATGATTATTAGTGAAGTTGAGAAGTCAATTACTTTCATTTAATACAAATGCATTGTTGGTAGGAATTGTACTATGAAAATATTGGTGATGTAGATTTGTCAAATATTTCTTTGCTACTGATTTATTACACACACGATAAACAATGATGACCACTTTTGACTTTAATTCATGATACAGACATATGGTACCGGTAGATGCTTTTTTTAGTTATATTACAAATAAACAATGCACGGTAGCAGAAATATGTGAATACTATATAATACACTCTAATGAACTAAAAACGATGATTGTTCAACACTGTTGGGCAACACTAAGAAGTATTTAGATTTTATATTGTTTCATTTTACTGTATTTTCTAGTCTCACCTATGCATATATGAAATTGTATTTAGACACTAGATTTTTTAACGTATACCTGAAAAAAATGTCATTACAGTGGTAGAGTGCCTCAATACATTCATGGAAAAACTTTTCTGCAATTTGCCTTTCGCATCTGCCTTTCTCCTTTGCCTTCATTTTCATTATCTGTAAGTGATATATATATAATACTTATATATTGTGTCATGCACTACCAACAACTGGATTTCTGCAATACTATCATGTACAATATCAGCATGAAGTATGACACATTTCTACAAATTCATTATATATATATATATTGAGTAACAATAATATTTCTGTCAATATTTCTGCAGAATGACATACCATCTGCCTTCTTTTTCACTTTTGTAAAGTACTACAATCTCAATAAATCTGTTTATAACAGCTGTATATAAAAATGAATATATATACTGAATAGCAAGTATATATTTCCTGTGCTATATTTCTGTGAATAAATTGTCAACTTGAAAATTGTTGTCTTTTCTTCTGTTACATGACCGTAATATTGTTGTTGTCATGCTGGAATTGATTTTAAGAATATTTTATTACCCTCAGTGTATACCACATTGGTATATTACATATGCTGAGAATATTTCTTACTTTCTTGAAGTGTGTTTTTTCTTCTTCAGTTTTGAATCTGGACCATGCAATTTTAATCTCTTTGATGGTTTCATGAGGTCTGTAGAATCTTCTTTTTTTCAAAGAAAGGGGAAAAACACATTGTTTTATGTTGTCCTGTTAATATATTTTTTTATACAAACATACATTTTTTTCTACAATGTACACGATGTATCTTGTCATTGACCCTGTATAACGTAGGGAGGGACATAAATGACAGGGAGTGACAGAGGGAGAAAAGGAGAGGGAGATCGAGAGAAAGACATGGAGACAGAGGGAGAGGGAGATTGTTTCATTGTTTTTATATAGATATATAACTTAATATGGACGATCCATGAAACCTAATAAATAGGTGATTTCTAATGGGATCTATAGAAAGAGAGTGAATTGAGCAAGAGGGTCATAATATAATTTTTTTTAAACTATGAATATGCTTTTTCATAATTTTGATAACGATATATAGGGAAAAAATTGATATATCTGGAAATGCTTGGGTGGGGGGGGGGGGGGGGTAAATCTTTGGCACCTAGATTTTGTCTTCCCTGGGGTGGTGTAAGGAATAACTATCGATCGAGTACAGCAAAATATTTTTCTTTAGTGAGTAATAATTTGTTCATTAAGATTTTAACAGACTCGGGTTTTTTGTTTTTTTAAAATCATACAAAAAAAAATTACCCTGTATCTCAAACAGAAAGGGGGACTAAAAAGGAAAAAAAAGAAGAGACAAGAACAAAAAGAAACAGCTTTTCTATATTACAGCTATAATGAAATATATTTTTACTATCTTGACCATAAGTATCTTAAATATATTTGTATTGACTCTTATTTATCGACATCTTCCCTTTTTTTAATGATATAAACAAATTATTCATCTACGACATTCAGTGGTAAGAAATTATGCTACTTACTGTCGTAGCGGTCGGACCTGAATTTGCTTTGTGCACGGTTCCCATGTTGAAATGTCGTCTGTCTCTTAAAACTGATTGGAATTCCGTGTTTATTGGAGGAGAAATTAAGGTAAATCATTACTTTTCAAGGTCATTTTAATTTTCGGACAGTCGCCTAAGATACAAAGAATATGAATTTGGAAAAAATATTTTTGTGTATTCTTGGATATCGTGACAAATTTAGCACATTTATTTTTATATTCTCGCGCTGAAAGTCAAGAAACATCCTGGTCATTCACATCAGCATCCTGGCTTTTCGAGCCCGAAGTTCCCGGACGGTAAACAGGAAGTGTTGGGTGCACATGTATCTCTAGTCTGCCACTGGTCGCACTGCCTAGCTGGCATAGCAGCTGGCCTGCATTTGCCCAGTGTTCGCAAGCAGTATCTCCCAGAAAAGGAAAGCATTGATTAGTAATGTCTGATGCTTATAGTACTATCCAATTCCAAACCCTCCTCCCTTGAATTTCTTCTTTTTTTGACAGATGAATAGCCTACTGCATTGTGAACACGAGGCGATTTGTGTCTTTGTGATTGGCTCTTTTTCAGTTTTGAAAATAATCTGTGACTGTGTCGATCGAGTGACTATTCAATTCATTTCAATTCAATTCATTTAGTTATTCATATAGATCTAGATCTAGATGAGTAGATCTATGTACACAACTAAAATAAGTTACATAAAAAATTTAGCAGAACACAGTGATGGTTTGATGACCCCGGAGAAAGCAGGGCTTTTAAAAAGGGACCACCAAATTGAAATGCATAAAAAGATCATCAATACTTAGACCTAGAAAGAAAATCACCATATTGAACATTAATATAAACAAGTCAAAAAGAGAAGTCCACTTCTTGCCGCAAGAATCTATATCTACAATTCTAGCTACATCGCAGTACATGTATATGAGGGCAAAGAGAAAAGAAGAGTGAACATCAAATATCAAGAACATATATTTTAAAGAAGTTGAGATTTCCCTGCCTAGCTTTTTGAATCTGGAAAGGGTTGAACTGTTTTTGATATCATTATAATAATTTATGGATACGTCACTAGAATCGAAACAGGAAACGGATCTATTAAAGCCGGTACTAACATTGATGATGGGGTTGACAAACTCTGTCGCTGCGTGTACGATCCATTGAGTCTGATCGAGATAAAGGAACTCCATAAATGAGGTTTATGAGGTCGAGAAAATCGGTAGCGGCATGTATACAGGATTGATTATGGCAGAGTTCACCTTCACCCCTGGAGTACCAGCCATGACGCTTGATGCTGTGCTCTTGGTCTGTACTCCAGGTGCCAATAAGACAAACTCTTGTTGACATTTCCTTTTTCTTCCTCAACTCGTAGGCTGCCTTTTTAAGCTAATTGTACTTGTTTGAGTGCAGGGGTAGATCTATGCGAATGTAACAGCTGGCTTGGGTCCTGGTCATTTGAGCGATTGATGGAATGCACCGAGGACAGCATCACGGCCGAATATTGACATGAATCGAACAATGATCAGGTCTGGGTTGGGCGGACAAGTGTTGGGAGATGATGTTATTGTTGGTTTCCGCGGCAAACGATGAGCATTGATGAATTGCATTTTCCGGACTTGATCTTCAGGTTTGCCGAGTTCGACAATTCCTTCCGCAAGATGTCCATGATGTTTTTGTGTGTGCTCTGAGGAACTCCAGAAAGCATAAGATTTTGTTTACAATAGTGGATCTCCATGGCAAGGTCACATTCCTTCTGCGTTTTTGACATAGCAGGGTCACGCATTCAAGTGTAACAATTCTCGCTGCTGAATCTGCCGATAATGCTTCAACTTCACGAAGAGAAGATTTGATATTTTTCATTTCATCAAGAACTGATAGTAAAGTTGTTGTAACACTATCAAGTTTGTCAAGTACAATCAAAGAAAATTGGTCAAATTGGATTCTGAATTCCGACAACGCTTCTTTCATAGCATATGTGGGGGTGTCACTGTTTCTGCATGTTTTGGTGATGGATTTAAACCTGGTTTTTGACATTTTCAGTACGCAGATGGACACAAATGTTCAATAAAGGCAGAAAATCCAAATAATCAAGTATGATGACTTTACCTTAAGATGTAAGCAGATAGTTCAAAAGTAGCGTAGTTGTGGGGGATTTGGAGAGATTTTAGCAGAGCAATAAAAGTCCTTCTACATTTTTTTCTGGTAGCACCCTACATGTATAGTCGCAATCTATATTATAGACTTATACTGAATGAGCAGACCGTGGCATGATGGCTTACATATAGTTAAAAACAAGGGGGCCTTTGCCTTTTTGATATTTTGGATAAACATGTGGGTTGTCTTTTACTTTGAATGGCAATGATAGGATTGGTGATTTATGTCTATGAAAGACCATATTACAATTAGGCTTGAGTCGGTACGGTCGATCACACCGGGACCCGACCGTTGCCGTCGGGTCCCGGTTTCGTTTTTTGAGAACCGGCGCTCCGAAAAAAATAATGAAATATGTAAGAAATTGCAGTTTTGCACACCACTAAAATCGATCCACCCTAAAACTTAAGTATTTAATTGTTACCAATTGTATTCTAGCTCATCCAGAATCAATCCGAACTGCTGATATAAATATGGGTTGCAAAGCAGTTCGCCCCATGGGGTTGTTGTTGCAAGCTGCTAGCTAGCTACTGTACTGGCCAGGTCTCTCGGCAGAATTAATAAATCAGGTTGAAAGAAACATTAATGTTTGAATAATAAAACGACTTTCTAAAAAGTACTTCTTTACAACATACCGATCGAATAATTTTTAAAAGACAAAATATATATTTTTTCTTTGATTTTCAACACCGAATGCTTCTTTTAAAAGTTGAAAATGACTTGGTAATCACAAGAAGTTTCGATACGGATAGCTGTTGCAATGCAAGTTCAGACTAGTCTCGGAAAAATGCGCAGTGCTCCTTGTTAGCTATAATGCGTGCCAGAACGAACCCAAACAAAGACATGATCGTAACGAGAAAAAAAATCATTAAAAACTACGAGAGCACAATTGGAAAGACAACTACTCAAAATTATCGTAAGCAGATACATAACTTGGAGGAAGAATACAATAGTTGTCCAAGAAAAGCCACATAAATAGTGATATTTAATGAGTTACTATAGGTACAATCATTATCGAAAGGGCCTGCTGCAATATATCTAAACGTGTTTAAATTGAACACGAGGCAAATACCGCCCTCTACGGTAAAAAGCAGTATAACAAGGATTCGAGTATTTGCAGCAGGCCCCTTGCGATAAAAATGTACCCAGTTACTCCTCGATTATCACAATTTCTGTGGCATGTCTTGGGCGATTATTGAATTCATTGTCCAAGTTATGTATCTGATTATGGTAATTTTGAGCAGTATATCTTTCCAATTGTGCTCTCGTAGTTTTTAATGATTTTTTTCTCGTTACGATCACGTCTTTGTTTGGGTTCGTTCTGGCACGCATTACAGATAACGAGGAGCACTGCGCATTTTTCCGAGACTAGTCTGAACTTGCCTTGCAACAGCTATTCGTATCGAAACTTCTTGTGATTACCAAGTAATTTTCAGCTTTTAAAAAAAAGCATGCGATGTTTAAAATAAGAGATAAATATTTATTTTTGTCTTTAAAATATTATATGATCGGTATATTGTACAGAAGAATTTTTTAGAAAGCCGTTTTATTATTCTAACATTCATATTTTTTGACCAGATTTATTCAACCTGCATAAATCAAAATGGCGGCTCGATTGTAGTCTTTATATTTTTGCTCGAGTTTTTTTACTTTTAGAGGCACGATAATGGCACTAAACATCGCCAATCATGGATGAATATAATGTCAAATGGAAGAATATACCAATCTGTGCCGAGGTATGCATGTGTTGATTTATTTGACTGATAAAAATGTCACTTTTAAGGGACATACTGATGATATGCACTTTTTATAGAGGCAAGTGACAAATCCTGCGAGCTGATTTCGGGACACCGGGTCCCGACCGGTGCAAGGCCGTCGGGACCCGGTTTATGAAAATCCCGACATGACTCAGGCCTAATTACAATCACCAAACCGTACTAGGCATTTTGTTGGCATGCACCATCACATATTATATGTCATGGAGATCGAGCTGCCATAACAAAGATTGCTATATATTTTGATAAATTGACATTTTAATAATTTTTTATATTCATACAGTTATGTAAGTTGTCCAGAGTGACATTACTGATGCAGTTAACAAAAAAATTAATACTAACAAAAAAACATGTTTACAGCAAAAAATGAAATAGCAATTAACAAACCAAAAAAGTGAAAAACAGATGACACCTAATGATTATGAAACATATCTGCAGGTATGGATATAATGGAGGACGACCTTGAGCTGCATGTAGAAGATGGGGATGAGATGGACGGTGGTGTTGGTCTTTTGCCTTCATCGTCCAGCAGTCAGATGGAGATGGATCAGATATCAGATCAGATATCAGATGTCAGACATGTTGGAGGAGTACACTCTGGGACAGATGATGGCAGTATGAATCAACCTTGTATTGTGGTGATGCCAGTTGAAAGTGTAGAAGCTGACCATGGTAAGACTTAATGTTTTTTTCATTGTTATGAAGAAGTTATCTAGGAAAAGAGCACAGTAGATTCCTTGAACTAATTTTTGTTTCTTTTCCATATTGATGTATTTGTAATTTTTCGTTATATTTTTGAACATTTCAACTTTGTAATCTTTGTTTGTATCAGTCTCTCGACTGTTTTAACAAGGAATATTGATTAAAATAACAAAATGAATGAATGAAATAGTGAAAACAATTTCCAAGGCAGACACCTGGTATAAGGAGAGGCATTGCTTGGCACATGTGCACAGTTAATTTTCTTTATAAAATATATAGCTTTCTATGCAACTACTAACGATGCTCCCCCATTATTTTTCTATTTATTTTACCTTGAATTTAAAAAAAAAAAATATTGATTTACTTTTTCTATTTATTTTACCTTGAATTTTTTTTTTTAATATTGATTTACTTTAGGAAGCTTGATTTATACAAAATTTGCGAATGGCAATACATTTTTTTGTTTATAGCAGATTCACATTCACACAATGCAGACACTTTATCATTAAATATACATTTCAAGGGAGCTAATATCCATTTATCCATACATTCATAATCTTAACAAGGAGATGTAAATGTAGAAATCGCTCGTGTTTCACAGTTCACTAGAGTTTTGAGATCACCTTGGGCAAAAGTTGTAAATGTGCCCCTCAAAACACTGTCGGTATTTATGTACTGTTTGATATTCTTTCTATTCTATTTGTAGGTCATTGTTTAGCCAAGGGTTTTCATCTCAGCGCCCCTACTGATATTCCAGTATCAGGAAGCTCCCATGTGATGGGGATAACTTGTGTGCAACGAACTAAAGAGTCAGAGGTGAGCTTTCACAAAGGGTTAATTAATATTTTTTTAAATCATCCCTATGTGTAGACAGTAATATCTAGCCTAAGCTGTCAGATGAAATTAAAATTATCTCCCTCCACAGTAATAGAATACCTAGAACAGAGTTATTTAATACAAAAACATAACAATTTGGTTATATAATTATGGAATATTCTTCTTAAGCACACTAAAGAGGAATAGGTCTGTATTTGTGTTAAAAAATAACTGTCAAATGACATACAGTGTACATTTAATATGTAATTATGAATTGTATAATTATGTTATGAAAATATTTAAGAAATACATGATTTTGTTGTTGTATGATTTTTTCCTTCAGCCTTATGATCCTGTAACTCAGTCATGGTTCACCACCAAGTACTCCAAAGACTCTCTGTCAGAACGAGGTAAGATGAAGCTTTAATAGTCGACTTCAATTATGATATGGCACTATATTTTAAAGAGCTGCAAGAATGTCCATAAGGATAAGATTATATTAGAAATCATAGAGAGAAAAGATTTCGATAAATTATTTGGAAATGAATGTGAGAGGGAAAGAGAAAGAGAGAGAGAGAGAGGAGGTGTCTGAGATGGGGGAAAGACATTGAAAGAATGTAAAAAAAGGTAAAGTCTCGCAATGCTAGTAATTAGGATTATCTCTCACTTGTGATTGTGACATTTTTTAGGTCATAAATGGAAGCAAGGAATGTGGTCAAGCGATGAAGTTGAACTCCTTGAAAGGAACATTGAGGAATATGTCAGAGTAAGTCACCATTGTTTTATCTTAATGTAATAAGAATATATATCTGTAGATAACATGTCACTTTTTCTTATTTAGATTACCTCTAAAAGTTTGTGTCGTTAAAAATGCCATAAAATTGTTTAATGTCCCATTATATTTAAATAAATACACGGCTGAGATATTCATGTTAGCCATTTGATGAAGTGCATAAAATGCAAGGATTCTGAATCACAGAAGGCAGTACCTAAACCTTTGCATTTTGAGGGTGGCAAAGCTGAAGAAATTTTGGAGCATTATGTTTCGAGTAAAACAGCTGTTTTTCTTCCTGTAGCAGAAGATGGTGCTATTAAGTATATTACCATGGAATATACATTATTTCTTAACCAATTCAACAATGAAGCAAGCATTTTAAGATAAAATGCCAACACTTGAAAGTTTGTCCCTGACAATTATTTAAAAACCAGGTGGCACAGAACACTTTAATCATGCATTTGGGGCAGTAATTTTTTTATTTTATTCATACTCCTGTAGGGATTTTTTATGGCCAGGTGGTAGAGTTGCTGCCCAGCAAACAGTAGATGGCAGGTTCAAATGCTGCAGGATCAAAGATTTTTTCTGACTTGTTTTCAATTAAAAGATCGAGCACACGATCTTTATCTACGACACGTGCAAGTCAAACATTTATTTACAACTAACGGGATTCAAAATTGTCATTAAACAAAACATTTCTACATGACTTCAGTAATTTGAAACCAACTCTGTAAAGCTACGTTTCATACGTGTTGGTTATTAATTATCTCCACAGGACCATAAACTAGGTGATGCCAGTGAGGTAATCTTCAATAATAGCAAGGACAACAGGAAGAACTTCTATCGGAACGTATCCCAAGGGTTGCAGAGACCCCTTTTTGCCGTTTACCGGCGTGTCATCCGGATGTACGATCAGAAGAATCATGTGGGAAGGTACACGTTTTTAAATCTTCAGAGTTTGTTTCTAAACTTCTCATTCCCTGCTGTTTAGCAGAAAGATGCTGGGATGAGATGAAAATGCAAGTGACATTAATTCTATTATGAGTGCCTTTTCTGGGGGTCTCCCGTAAAAATGGGAATGCTGATGTGTTCCTGTGAAGACAGCTCCTACCCATTAGATATTTCACTATTTACCTATAAACTTAAGCTCCTTTATGAGAAAAGAGGGTCATGTCATGTCATAAGAAAAGAGGGTCATGAACCTTGTAAGTTATCTGTGATTGACAGGTTGTATATTACACAGGAAGTTCTTGGCTGAAATCTACATGAGCAGATGTTAAACAATAGCATGCTTGGTGATATGTACACTTGTGGAATGAAGATACCTACAAGAAATTATAAACGAGTTATTTCTTGGTCTGAATTTGTAAACAAGAAGGAATGTGTAATCTACCATCAACCTGTTAATCATAGATGTGGGTCAATAACCCTTTAGCAACTAAACTGCCCAAAACCGCCTGTTCATTTTCGTCTGTTTTCAATGCGCTGTAGTATCCTTCTGTGAGGTTTACCATGATAATGTTATACATGCCTAATCTTAACGATGTCTACAGTAGAATTCTGCATAGAAAAATAGCCCATGTTTCATAATGTTCAGAACAATGTCAAAATGAGAGCAATATTGCAACATCTTCCAACTAGTAATAGGCCATTTTTACAAAACCTCTAGTTGCTAATGGGTTAAACAGCAGTTGATAGTGTTAATAGATGTTCAACATGTACATTAGCTTGAAATAAGTAATGTTTGAAATATTCCTTTATTATTAAAGTTCAAATAAATTAAATATATAAAGTATAAATGTACCTCTACATGTATGCCTATGGGGCAGAGTCATAATGATGATACAGCAGCATTCATTTATTTCATTTTTTCCCTTTTTTCACAGGTATACTCCAGAAGATATCATGAAGCTAAAAGAGTAAGTAGTGGAAGCTTGTGCATACATTTATACAAGTCTCAAATTTATAATTACTACAGAATGTTTTCAAAACACATCTGTTTTAATGTCTATTTTATTCAATGAAAATGTATGAAAATATGTGACTTTCTTGCAGAGCTAGATGAATTTTGGCACCCGTTGCCTATGTTTACGAGATTTTGAAAGTAGCTTGGTCTTCATAAGAGTATTTTGGTGTTTGATACTTTGATTTTACTTCTGCATTTTTCATCATGATAAAAAGTCATATACAAACTAGGTACATATATATTATTAACAAAAGACATATACGGTACATATAATCATATCATAACATACAATGTAAGTCAATTGAATAATAATGATACCTTTCAGCAACCAAAAATCAATTAGATAATTATACCTTTAAAAAAAATAGTTGACAAATCATGGCAAAATTGAAAAAGATGCAGATTTTATCTTTGTTTCTCCACCATTCTCCTCATAGGCTAAGAGCTAAGCATGGCAATGACTGGTCCTTCATTGGAGCTGAGATGGGTCGCAGTGCTTCATCAGTCAAAGATAAATTCAGACTTCTCAAAGATTCTTGCAACAGAGGTAATACACTGCTAAAAGTTGCTTGTATTACATAATAGATCAATATTTCTCTGCCCAATTTATTATGAAGTCTAGTTGTACTTAGTTAAAAGCTTCCTTAAAATTGCATCATGTGCTTTTTTATCTTTTTTTAATACTTTTGTACATGATATTCTCTCGATTATTCTTTACTAGGTACCTTGTAAGAAACAATTTCAATTGTTACCATTTCAAAAGGATATTATGATGCATAACAATATTTTATTTTCTTCAGTTATACATGTATTAAAGCTTATCAACACTAGTGTGACTAGGAGGGATTAGACCACACAGCGAGGTCACTGACAGGTGGCTATCTCATCAACTCAGCTCTCAAATAACATAAGAAATAGAGGATCATGGGGGACCAACAGGCACCGATTGGGGAAGTTTTCTATATAGAGGGAGCAAGTAGCTACAAGTAGGACAGTGGGGCTTTAAAACTGGTTTGATAAAGATAGGTCATTGAATCGAATACACTAGATGCAACATTGCTTTTTGAAAATGATATGTCCCATTTTTTATCATAGGTAAGTGGACAGCTGATGAAGAGAGACTCTTGACCGATGCAGTCTTCTCCCTGTCCGGAGCCCAGCCCGGTGAGAGTGTGACCACAGGTATCTCATGGTCTCAGGTAGCGGATAAGGTCGCTACGAGGACAGAGAAGCAATGCAGGGCCAAGTGGCTCAACTACCTCAACTGGAAACAGACGGGTGGTTCAGAATGGAGCAGGACAGATGAGCTCACTTTGATCAATAGGTAATTAACATTGTGGTCATTTTTTTTATTTTATTGAAAGCTACACTTTCTTCACTAGGTGAAAATTGCCTAACATGAAGGCAGTTATGTTTCCGACCAACTTGGCAATTGAATGTCCAACTTCAATCACCTTTTCCTACAAAATGAATGAAAATTACCAGAGTTGGACAGGTAATTTCCCAAAATTTGATGGGATGCATGATTTCTCTCATGTTGGGCATTTTTTTTTAAACTCAGTATTTTAAGATGGAAGTATGAAATGAGATGAAAACATGATCATTGATTTTTTTGATGAAATATATTGTCTAAGTTATTCAACATAAAACTAAAGGTAATGTTGTTTAGATACTATTAATAAAAGGGCATTGTAAATCTTGCTAAATGTTATAAGTAACTTGTAAATGCATCACTTTTTAACACATCGTCAGGACACACATGATCACCCAAGTGGCTTATTTCTATCAATAAAATATGACAAAATGAATAAGAAATTGCATATGCAGCACTTACTGATGAACAAGCATTATCACAAAAATACTGGCACCAAATTATAAACTTGTTTGCAGTTCTTCATGTGTAATTTGATTTGTATTTTTTTTTCTATCTAGGATTGCTGACACAGAAGTGGAACTAGAGAGTGACATAGATTGGGAGGATATTGCTAAGAACTGGAAGAGTGTGAGATCACCCCAGTGGCTGAGATCCAAATGGTGGAGTCTCAAGAGGCAAGTCAGTGGATCAGATATGAAAAGTAAGCATACAAGCTGGTCATTTAAATGTCTGTTCCAGATGTCTACATTCATCAATTTATTTGTACATTATATTACAGGTTCAACTCTTTTTTTTCTCACAGGAGGTCCATATAGAAGTGTTTGCAGGGCCCCCGTAATAAAATTCTGAAATTTGGGGGGCCTGGAGACTGGAGTTAGAATAAGGGGGTCCATTTTCACCAGACGCCAGTTAATGTCTAGCACCATTATATTTCAAAGTATCATTAAACCATTTTCAGAGGATATCCATTTGTTGAAAAGGTAGAAGGAAAACCCCTAATGTTCCTCAACGAAAGCTGTAGACATGTATTTAGACTTCACATTGTTTGAAACAATCACTCATTTCCTCCACCTTTTTTATTATTTATAAAGTTTAATGAAGCCTTTGAAAAATAATGTTGATTGAAGGTGTCATGGTCTAGAGGATATGTCACTGGACTGTGGATCACTAGTTCACGGTTTGAGTCTCACCGCAGCACTAATGTCCTTTGGCAAGGCATTAAATTGTTTTTAATGATTGGCTGAATAAATTGAAATTGAATTGAAAATCTACATTTACCACTCTCCATCCAGGTGTTAAATGGGTACTCAGTAGGATGCGGACACTAATATGACTGGATTGGCATGTATGGGCTTGTAAAATGGTGCCTGTCCGAAATACTCCTATCCCCTCTATTATTTGCGGTTTAGCAAATAAATCTGATGACAGGGGTAATAATAATTACAATGTAAAGCACTTTTCAATTCAATTTAATTTTCATTTATTTAATTCTAGATTAAAAATTACATTGATACAAAAGATACAAAATAATTCATAAACAAATTATAGAAAATGAAATGGGGAACAACATGAATAAAGCCCTTAGGCCTTGTACAAGCGTAGTTCCCAAAGCATTCATAGCATAATGTAAAGCAAAGATAAACAAAAATAAAAAAATAAAAAAAAAAAAAACATTAATAAAAAAGGAACTAAAAACATATAACACAAATATAAACAAAAGATAAATAACTATACATATATGAGATAAAGAAACTGCTTTGCATTTGCATTCAGCAACATCTTTGGGGATGGAGTTCCAAATAACAGGGAAATTATGTCGTACTGATTTCATTACCTTATTTGTGTCATGGTCTAGTTAGAAGGATTATGCTTTAAACAAATTATTGTTATGTATTATCATTTATTCCACCATTCATAAAAAAACCAGCACAAATACAATACAGCATGGTAAGAGGCAAGTACATAATAAGAATGAAAAAATACATGCAAAGAGATACGGGAGCAGCTAGTGGGTCAGAGTTGCCCGGAGGCATGTGCCCCCACACATGCTACTCCCAGTACATAATTAAAAATTCTATACATACAATATTGCTCATGATAAAAGGAAAAAATATATGAAAAAAAAATACTTTAAAAAAAAGAAAAGATGAATTAAGATTGAATTTCGGAGAGTTGATTTAAAAGTTGATATAAAAGTTGATTAAAAAAAAACGTTATAATGTACAAAAGATTTATATCTCCTCAACCCTAAACATTCAGCAGGAGTACACTCCTAGAACCATTAGATTACATGAGTTGCATGAAATGAACATAGCCATTTAAGAATATGAATATAATAATATTAATTGATATTTAAGGGACAGCGTCTTTAACAGCAGCATGAAATAAGTCAAGAAATAGTTCGTAACTTTCTCCAGTGTTTGACGGATCTAATAGTGAGTTCCGGGGTATAAGATGTAAAATACTTTGAAGGTGACCATATTCTGCCTGTTTGAAATGAAGAAATGACTGTAGGACTGAAGACGTGGGGGCAGGCTTCGATGAACGAAAACAACGTGAACAGGGAGATACCATCGGAACAAAGCAATACTCTCTCATAGTGTCCAAACAACGTTTACGATGAAATGAGGTACTGTTGGTAGACATGTCAACATTGAAGTTTCCCATCAACAAACATCCACCAAACAAACATGTCCAGATGAACAGCATTAATTTCTTACTGTAAGTCATTCCAGAATGAAACAAAGCTGCTAGGTGGATGTTACAGAGCGCCGAAAGCCATGTGTCTGATCCAAAGCTGATAGATGCCCACCAGAGCCCAATCCTACGACTGCCATTAGTCCCATTGATATCAGGGTCGATTGAAATAGGATTCAATCCCTGAAGAGCTGCGATCAAAACACCACCACCTCCCGACGGCTGCCAGGGCCATCATGGCGTCAAACCACATAATCATCAGTAGAGTTGACAACACTACTGCCCAGCCATGTCTCAGCGATACAGACAACATTCAGATTCAGATTCAGATTAATTTTATTTGTCCATTTGGAATTCAGTTGTTGGCATTACATAAAGCACATGAACAATATACAATAGAAAATAATATACACAAATAGATAATACACAGTAGCAAATGTACAATGACATATTCATATGGCAACACAGATATAAATCGTTATCATTCTTGGAAGTATAAAAAACACCTCCATTTCTGGAATTTTGCTTATCAGGCTTTTCGCATTAATAAGGCAACAGGACATACCTTGAGAACATCCAATGTGACTATTATTATTATTATAGTTATTATTATTTCTCTTCATGTCATTTTTTCAGCATTACTAGAACACCTTAGAATGCTTCATGATAGACGCAGACTCCAAGAAGAGAGACGGATAGTGCCTACAACTTCTCTAGACCCTCAGCATAACCAAACCAAGAATGGAACTCTCACTTTACAAGTACCAATTCAACTCGGCTCCTCTTCAGGTAACTATATCCTATTTATTTTCTATACACAATTGCCAAAACTGTTGGGGCAATTAGCTTACATTATCCCCTACAACATCTTAAAATTAAACTAATACAATAAAAAATTAAGATGATTTGTTACCTTTAATTTGTGGTTTATTACTATAGCTCGATCATCTCCTGGAATTAACATATTCCAAATCCTATAATTTGCATATTCATAAAACAAAATATTCAAGAAATTGTGTATTATAATTACATAATATTCACATCCAGTCATCAGACACACATACAATATCTAAGGTAAATGAAAGGGGACAATTTAACTTCTATACACTAAAAGGAAAACATAAATACTCCACAAAAATGTCTCCCCAATAACTCATTGAAAGGTGGTAAATAGTACTTGCAGTCTGATTACAAAGAAATATGATTGAAATGAAATGGTGTTGGTTTTCATTTTTCTTTGATCAGGTGTCAACATGGATGATGGCTCAGGACTTCAATCGTTGATAATTCCTCAGTCGGCCCTGGCTCATCTACCAGCTACAAGCTCCCTGTTCATGAGTGAGGGAATGACCACTGTACACTCTGATAATCATATCATTATTCAAGTCACTAGCTTACAGGTAAGATGTCCCCACCGGTTCTACAATCCATTGCCCCAACAATGATTGCTCTGCAGCCAATATCCTACACTAATCAAATTCCTAATTTCAACATCATTCCTAACCCTAACCTTACACTAACATACAACTTAATCATAATTTTAACCCTAATCCTATATATCTTTGACAAAATAAAGCCTGGAGCAAAATTCTGACACTCACCAATTTCCTAATGTTAACCTGATTACCCTAACCCTATATCTAAACCTAACATAGAACCCAATTGCAACCCTTACCTTAACCTTCTTTGTTGACCAAATAAAGCCAGGAGTACATGACGTATATGTTAGATCGATCACTATCACATCTTATTACTATTCTGAGATGAGTTCAAGATACTGTACAGATTATTATGTAGGCAATCATAACTGTGTTAAATAGACTGTGTTTGAATATAGGTTGGTTTCAGTTACTGACTGGTATAATGATAATGTAACAATACATAATTGTGTTGATACTTTTCAGCAAAGTACTGCAACAATATGTGATACTACCTCTATTTTTACTCTTTTTTTTCTTCTTCAGGGGAGTGAAGGAGAGATTGTAGGAACAGACGGAAATACAAGGCAGATAATCATCACAGCACGACAGCCTAGACAAACAGTGCCCTCACTAGGTCAGGATGAGACAGACATGTGTGCCGAGATACACCAATCAGGTACAGGTAAGCTTGGTGCATTATTTAATTGTTATAAGTTTTGGTTAAGATAGAGAGGAAGTGTTGATGTACATCATTTGCTCATGCAACATTTACTACGAGCCAGTTATATGCTATACTAACTGAATTCTCTGTGCATTTCAACCGTGGACCTAACACTTTAACTAACCCTAATCCTAATTCTAACCTAAAAACCCAATTGCAACCCTCACCCTAAACTGTTGATGATATGCAGTCCAGATCAAAGGTTGCCAGAGCAAAGGTTGCCAGAGCAGATCTCAGATCACTAACAGAAGGGAGATACTCTCTTGCAGATTATGTTTGGAGTTACATTGCCCCCTCTAGTGTTGAGCATTGCAAGCATGGTTCTGTACATCAAGATGTGTGTGTGTGTGTGTGTGTGTGTGTGTATGTGCATGTGCTAAGAGCAGATTATTGTTTTGAAAGACAGGAAGCATTACTGATCCTCTCTTTCAGTATTAAAGCTGCACTCTGGTTCGAGTGTTATCAACAGAATTGCAGCTTGTACAACTGGTTTATGAACTTGCTCTATTGTTTCTAACAGTTTTGTGAAATTTGTTTACTTTTTGGTAGTTTATACCTTTAATTATAAAAGAGGAGCTCACAAAATACACGAAGTAGCAATATCATTTACAGAAACTCATATCTTTTAAATACATTAAATGGACTGAAGTCTTCCAAATTAAAAGAAAAGGTGCTGAACATTGAAACAACTTCTTACAATTTTGTATCTATAGAAGGATGATATTCTTGATTAAAACTAAGCCTTACAGCAAAAATACATCAGTCATTTCTGCAAGATTTGTAAACTCATCAAAAATCACATGGCCATCTAATTTAGGACCTGGAGATGGTATGTCACTGTCATACTGATGCAAAGAATAGTTTTTGTAATATTATATATGAGATAATGATCTTGCCAGCTGCCTGAGATTTAAATCGTGACACAACCAAACACGGTGACTGCTTTGTTTGAGAAGAATTCCTGGAGGAGCAGACTGATTATTATTAGTCTACTTCCATAATGATGCAGAGAATGGAAGAGAATGAGTGTGCAGTCCTACTTGTATTTCCTCCTATTGCTTCAGATTGAGCTACTTAAATGCAAAGTGATGGATGAAACTCGTGAGTCAAGAACTACTGTGTCGATGTGGGAAATGGAGATTACTCTCGTCATAAACAAAACATCCTTTATTTTTACGCTGTTTGAATATGAATTTAAAGCACAATGTTAGTTTTTTTGCCCCAATCCTATTCATCAGAATTCTATGATTTTGATTGATAAATATAAAGATACAAGTGATTCATATAGTAGAGAGAGAGAGAGAGAGAGAGAGAGAGAGAGAGAGAGGAGAGAGAGGAGAGAAGAGAGTTTCAAGAGAGAGGGAGATAAAGAGGGGGAGTGGGTGAGAGAGCCATATAGGCAGTTCTAGTAAAATACACATCGAGATGCACTGTGCATTATTGATGATAATAAATGTTTCATTTGCAGTGATGAATCATTGGCACCTCACATCCTGTGACTCTCACATTCAACATTGATTCCTTACATATCTGTCACCAAGACATTTAAAACACAGCAATTAAAGTTTTCAGGGTATTACACTTCGACACCAGCAACAATTTAATTTGTTGGAACCTACAATTGCCAAGATAATGGCGAAGTGTGTGTCAAAGTGACTTATATCTTGAATATTATGGTGTTTTCTAAAGAGCTTTAATGTCATTACCCATTATCTTCCAGAACCATTGCGTGTGAATCAACATGTGTTCAATTATGTCGCTCATGCTCTGCACGGACGGCATAAAACATTTCTTGGACTTGTTTAATGTCATGTTCAATGTTTCATTTTTGTTTCATTTCGGTATGCCTTGCATTGAACTTAAAGGTAGATGTTTAAAAGACATAAGGGGAGGAGGTAATGTTACCTGTGTGCTATGAATTGTACATGGTTGCAATTTCATTGACAGATGTCAATATTTAAATACCTCACACCATATACATGAAAGCAAATGTCAAACTTTTCCGGAAAGTTACATAAAACACTGTGAAAATGAAATATTAAATAATAAATAAAGAAACAATTTGCATGCACAATTATGATAAAGAATTGAATAGAAATAAAACTTTGTTGACATACTAGAAGATCAAATTATGCCAAGGTCTTGTCCATCTATACTTGTTCTTGTGCTCAACTTGACAGGAAATCATGACTTTTCTTCATCTTCAGGATTATTAGAGATCTTGCACAATGTATTTTAACCCTCATGTGGGAGTTTGCTACTATCTTTAAAATCTGGTTGCAACTAGAAAATGTTTATATGTACCAGGTGCTAAATTTAATTGAATGATGAGCTGTTGTATCGTACCATACATTTCTTTCAAATTCAATCAAATGTTTGTACTTCATGCATATATGAATCATTACCTGAAATTAGATTAGGATATCATGTGACAGGCTTACATTCTTTGTCTTGTATTGTTGTCGGCAGAACTTGAAATATGAACATGAGTAGCGTGACAGTGCTTATAGATTCAAAAGTGTAAACATGCTCTTGTCATGTGTGAATGTGTGAATGTACATTGTAGATTTGAGAATATTAATGGAGAGATGTTGATTGACATGTACATGGTGGATGTTCTGGCTATGGTGCCCTTCTAATGTACAGCTTGAAAAAAAAACTCAGTAAAGAAAAAGTATTGTGTGTACTTCAGTCTCTTATTATGAACCATTCTACTAAATTTTGTCTGTAGTTTCATATAAAAAAAGATCTGACTGAGTAACTTTTTAGTCCATTACCTCTAAGAATACCAACAAGTTGTATGTATGATCTAACTTTTGATGGCTCTATTTCATGAAAGATACATGGTTATATGGGTGAGGGTGTGGTAAATATTCATGTATAGTTGGGTTCAAGGGTGGATTCAGGAATTTGGTTAGTGTTAAAAATTGACTTGAGAGCAATTGTTTCACTGGGAAATGGAATGTTCAATCCTTTAATTTCCAGAGAGCCATTGCACCTTTCTTTAGCTTGGAAATCATCACTTTTCACCTTCTAGTGGGGGAAACACTGAGGAGGAAAGTTCATTTAACATTCACACAATAATTAAAATATCCTCTCCTTGAATATATCATTCATGTTCATCAGTAGCATGCTGTGAGTTTGTCAAATCGTGAATATTTTTAGGAGATCTACCCGGTCTTATCTCGTCAGGACTACTTCCTATTGACCTCTGTGTGTCAGGGTATCATGGTAGCATGTCAGGTGGATAGCGTGCTGTCTGCACAAAAAGGAAAAAAGAATGTTCATATTACGGTCGCTTTCAGTTAGTTTCTTTTAATACCAGTGATGCGTGTGGATATTCCTGTACATCACCAATGCTATTTTAGGCTTCATGGCCACTTACAAAAATACATGTCATGTACATGGCAGATTGTAGAATTAGCTTCACTTCATGTGTGGATGAAGAAAGAAGTGCAGTTAATCGTCAAAGGAAACTATTAATTGACCTGACTGATCGGGATTTTAAAGTTAGAATGTCAATTGTAAAATGAAACGAAATGCGCTTTATAAGTATATCTTGAGTGCTTACAAGCATACACTTGTTTTCCTAACAGTTCATTGAGATCATGCGGTTGTTTGTTCATTTCATTCATTTTGAAATACACGTATCGCTGATAAAGTTATATATATAGGCGTGAAGAAAATGGTCTAAGAACGTGAGACGTAGCTGTACTTTATATATATATATATATAGCAGGACCCACGGAAATCCGCGGGATTCTAGAGGGGGCGGGGGGTGTAAATATATAGAGAATGTCTAAATTAAAACCACCAAGAACGTTATTTGCCATTCAGGCCATTAAAAAATATACATGTTTAGCGTCCTCGCCCGCTTCCTTTTTGGGGGCCGCCTCCTATTTTTTTTTTTTTTTTTTTTAAAGAAAAAAAACATCGTCCCCGCCTGCTTCCTTTTTGGGGCCGCCTCCTATTTTTTTTTTTTTTTTTTTTTTTTTTTTTTTTTGAAAGAAAAAAAACATGAAAAGCACTGCTAAAATGTATTTCTGATTTTAAAAAAGAAAAAAAAAAAATTGTGGCCGCCATCTTGAAAAATAGCCCGAATGCCAGGGAAAATGTACGGAGCGGCCATTTTGAAAAAGAAAAAAAAAAAAAAGCGCCTCCTCCTTCCCATTTTTCAAAAAAACAGGACGCTATAAGCATGTTTTTTTTTTTAATTTGGCCTTATATTAAATTTAAAAAAACAATCCAACTGTACCGGTAGTTATTCTTTATGCCACTGGAACTGCGTAGAGTTCCATAGTGTGGCGCGCGTACCGACTACGCAGAAATTAGGCTGCGTATTAATGGGAAAATAGTCTCTGCGTAGGTTATGCGTAGGCTGGCGTACAGGTTTGCTTATGGTTGCTTACTGTGTGGAAAGCTTTTACTGCTTAGTCGATCTGGCTTAGGGTAGCGTACTGTTGCGTAAAAAGGCGGACTTTCTGCGTAAAAAGGCGTAATTTCTGCGTCAAGTTTCTACGCCGAAAGTACGCAAAAAAAAATTAAACATGTTGAATTGTTTTCGTTCACCTTGCGTACCCCTTTCCGTCCCTCAGCATATAGTAGCGTAGGCCAGCGTAGTTGGTACACAACACTACGCAACTCTACGTATTGACCCCACTCCAATTGGTGACCCGCAAGTGTCACAAATAAAGTATTAAAAATATGCTCATCTGACCCTAATTAAACGCCTAAAACCCCCGAGCTTTCGGGGGTTTATGGCCCCTTGAAACCTGTGGACCCCACGCCTATATTATATATACACTCAACTCGCTGCGATCTGATCTCCCCCCCCCCCCAAACTTTGAAGAACGTAACCCCCAAGCTTTTGGGGGTTTATGGCCCCTTGAAACCCGTGGACCCCACGCCTATATTATATATACACGCAACTCAGGACCCGTGGAAATCCTCGGGATTCTAGAGGGGGGCGCAGGCAAAAAATTAAGTTTTTCATTTCGGGGGCTCCATTTCAAATTTTTGGGAAATTTTTGGGGGCTACTTTTTCAACTTTCGGGGGCTCTTTTTTCTGGGGCTACTTTTTCATTAATTCATATAAGGATAGGCCTACACTTTGTTGAGATTTGTTTAGTAGGCTAAGGTTTCAGGCTTCCTACTTCATAATTGCCTATTTAAAAAAACAAAACATTTTTCTAGTTCAATAACTAAGTTTTCATGCATTGATTTGATGCAAGAACTGTAACATAATAGACCCTAAATTGTGATTATTTCTGACCATTAATTTCGATAATCATTTTTCAAAGTAAAATTTTCTCAAGAAAATCAGACAGTCGTTTAAAAACGTAGACATTAGTGATACTTTTACTAATTCTAAGCTCAGGTTTCGTAAATCTATTCACGAAACTATATTGAAATCGCGGCAATAATGATCAAACCAACAGATAACAATTTCAAAGTGTCAAATCTCTTCGACTCAAGCTTAGGTGAACTCACACACACTGTAGCGTAACTCTAGGAAGCTCAACGCCGCCGCCGCAGGCGTCGGACGCCTACGGTGCGCGGTCCCGGTGTTGGAGCTTCCTGCAAGCTCATCGCAACTCACACACACCACACAGAAGCACTGCACTTTGTGTTGACTGAAGGCAGCTTGCGACTAAACTGTCAGTCCAATGGTTTTCTTGTGAAAACTTTCCTTTAGAAAATGATAATCAAATTTTAGTATACATTGCCGTAATAATCACAAAATAAGCTTTTATTTCATACCTCCATTCACGAAAACTATATACAAATCGCGCAATAATGATGGAAATAGGTCTCTAAGTTTAGACGTGTACGGGAAGCTTCGTGTGTATCTCTGTGGCTTGTGCAGCTACTACAAATATCCTATAGAAAGATGCTTTACTCGGGTAAGCCCGACACTGTGCATAGTGCATTTAATACGCAACTTAATGTGAGTGGATGGTCATCGATCGTGTGTCTACGGATGTCATGTTGAATATCCATGAGGTATCTCTGTCGTCACGCATATCCTGCATTATGCATATCGCGTCTGTTTTCGCCCTGGACGTCGACACGGAGGGGGACCTCGGGCGGAGTATAGCCAATTCCACAGAGTAGACTCTCCCGCGGACGATGGCACCGGGCACGGGTACCCGGAGGGGAGGGTTCAGGAGGAGATAGCCGCACCAACTTGGGTCGGCGATCTCATTAAAAAACAATAGAATACAAAGGCTCGCGGAGACGTCGCGCCCCCCGCGGAGCCTTAGCGTATTATTATTATAGATTCTATTACATAATATTGTTAATGAGTTTTTGCAGTGTTTGAAAATTAATTGATTTTTTTCTCCATCTTATATTGAATATTGAATCTTTCTTGATCATCCCAAAGATCAACATAATTCATGATGCAAAAAGGTATCATTAACAAAATAAATTGGTTCATTCACACAATAGGGTACAAATGAATGCCAGCTCTGATTAATGTTGTCAAGTATTTGGCCCATTTTGGTTTTCTACAACAGCTAAAGAAATTATACATCCACAAAAAAATAAATACACTTGTAGTTCAAACTTGATGTCTCTCTTTCTTTCCAGAGCTTTCCACAGATGATGTATCAGCTATAGTACACCAAGGTGATGATTTACATACCAATCATGATCACATGACTATAAGCATTGGCCAATCACAAGTGAATGTTGGAGAGGAACATCAAATCAGCAATGAGGCTCAGCTGATAGGTACTGATGCAGTATTACCTCAGCAGGTGAGATATGAATGGATCATTATCGTCATCATCAATATCATCATTTTAATCATCATTATTATCTTCATCATTATCATCATCATCATCATCACCACCATAAGTATCACCATCATCATCATTATCATCATCAGCATTGTTTACTGTCTTCTTGAAAAATGTTTAAAGCCTTAGGACTTGGGTCTCAAGCCCTTCCTATACTTTACAATATTGAAACATTCTGCCTACTTCTTTCCTGCCAATCTACTACACCAAAAGAAGAAAACAAAGAGAAAAGAAGAGAAAGTCAAACATAATAGGGATGAAGTATGATTTTGAATAGATTGAAAAAGTCTCACCCATTACAATGAATTTAGTAGATTTGCTAGTTTTTAAGGCAGGTTTAGAAGGAGGGGGAAAGATTTTGACAAGGGCTATTGATATGGTGCGCCACCATTGATTTCCTCGTACTTGTGAAGTCGACTTCCCTAGGGAATCTTGGCTGGACAGGGTCGAGTCAGGATTAGAGAGCTAGACGTGATTGCCGTGGACAGTGTTGGACTGCCTATCTGGGCCCTGTCAAAAGCACTTCGATATCTGGATGCAAGAACAAGATGGAAAGCTGCATTACAAATATACTAGAAGTGACATCCAGAAGTTTTATTTCCTTCCTTCCTTCACCGCTTGAGGCTGAATTTTTTTATTCAAGACCTGATTGTTGCCTATAATGGAAAGTATAGAATAATGTTTGTCATATATAATTTTGAAGATTACATTAATTCAGTTTGAGCTAAGTGTTGGTAGGGAGGGTGGAGAGAGAGAGAGAGATTGCTGGAGAGTGGGAACAGAAGGAAAGAGGGGAGAGAGAGAGAGAGAGAGAGAGAGAGAGAGAGAGAGGAGGAAGATGGGGGGGGGGGGGGGGAGGGGGAGGGAGGGAAAGGAGAGGAGAGGGCAGACTAACTGACTTAATAGAGACTCATGAGAAAGGGACAGAGATGCAGATAGATTTTCAGAAGGAGAATAACAAGACTATGACAGATGAGAGACAAAGGTAGATTGATTGATGTAGAGGGAAGAGATGGCTGATCAACCGAAAACCTGTCAACATATCGGAGCTGATCAACAAATCTTCACAGGACTTCACAGACACAACAAATCCTAACAGCAAAGTTGGCATACAGGTGGCGGACTGAAGGATTGGATGTCATCGTTGTAGCCACACCTGTCCGGAGAGTATCATCATCACAAGGAAACAGGTCGATGACATTCTTACTACTTGAGAGGAACCCTGTTGCTAGGAGACAGAGTATTGGTCTCCATCTCCTAAAAACAATAACAACAACAGCTGATGGTAATATGTGTTCTGAGAGCAAAGGTGTTTTCTTCCAAATATATATTTTTTTAGATCTCTCACTTCAGATTGAATTGGTTTCTTACTCCAACAAATACAATTAATCATTCAACTTCTCACTTTTCAAGAACAGAATTTATTATATGCAGTAGAGAATGAGGAAGATGGTTCATGAACTTGGATGAGGTTAACAGAATTTCAACATACCGTTTGATACATGGCTGTCTAAAAATAATATGACATTTCGATACTGTAGACTAAGAAGGATTGATGAAGATTCTGCTATTGCTTCAAGAAAGAAAGTTTTCTTTGCAGGTGGTTTTCTTAGATAGGGTGATTGTCTGAGCTGCCTAATCCACGATGTCGTTCCTTTTCTTCAGGTCGCATCTTTTGGAGGGATAGGTACCGGCTGATATAATCACACTGTGAACTACTGCAATCATTGAGTCACTGTCTTATAATCACTATGGAAGTTGATTCCCTATTTCCTTAAACTGAAATACTCTCCAAAGAAATGTGTGCGTGATGTCTACGCCGTCATGTTCCTTGGGCAATTATGTGCGCTATCTTTAGTGATTAGACTAACTGTCTACACGCACAGTAAGGGGACATTGAGAAGTCAACATTTACGTGAGAAGCTTTGAGAATGGTTAATGCCCTTTAAAGGGATCGTTTAACAATGTTAAATCTGAGATACACGGCTCTACGTGTTATCAGTGTCTGTGATATGGTGAAATATAGAAGCCCTAAAAAAATTGCGCTTCAAAATGATCAAGAAGTGCCCCAAAAAAGTAAAAATCTTTGAGTGACCAGTTTTACCGTACTCGTTTTCCCCTATAGACTGTAGTGTTATGAAAACCGTCAGGTGAACGGTTTTTAAAATTTGGAATTCCAATCATAAATATCTTGATAATCAGACAGGCGATCGGCTTGTAAAATTCATGGCGTTCCTGACTGACCTAAAGGTTTATAATTATCATTGCATCATGAGCTTAATCCAGAATTTTGTTTCAGAATTTGAGACAAAGTTACCGGATCCCTTTAAGTGACATTTCTGTAGCTACCGTTGTTAGGAGGTAGGGGAAACTGAGGTGTGATATGTTATTGAAGAAAGAACTGCAGTCATGTGATGTCCTAAGTGTCTAGCTACTGTATTTTTATGTATCCACCACTATGGTGCTAGAGGCTTTATGTTTCTGGTCGTCTGTATGTTAAATAAAAGTAATAAACTTGGCACTAGCACAATATGGGGTTATAGAGGTCAGAGATAATATAATTATAGAAGCAAGTGTATGAACAGTCATGTTAACATGACAATGCTGAGGTATTTTCATCCAAACTTGGCTGAAGGGTGTATATGGTCAAATAAGGTATAAGATATTAGTGGCTATTTGTTTGTGGCTCTGGCAACCTTTGTAAGCCACATCGACTAGGTCAAGAGTAAACTGAAGTTTACTAAACACAGTTTTGGGGTCAAAAGGTTAAGATATACAACAAATTGTTTGTAACATGGACAATGTTTGTCAAAGATGTTGTATCTTGTGAAATATTGCTATGAGGATGACTTTAGAACTGTTGACAGTATTATAATTAGGCCATGGCTTACAGCATATCAAGTTCATTTTGTTGTTTAAGTAATATAAAGCAAAGTTAATAGCAATGACAAACAAAATTGTCCTTTGATTAGATGCAGTACGTGTATGTAAAGCTCTCCAATTAATATTTTACCCATACTGTCTCCTTATTTAAGAGTACTATTAAGCAATACACTAGGGCGCCACGAAAATAAGATTTTGTGATGTGGCAATAGATGAGATACAGTATATTTCTGAACACATGTATCTTGGTATTCCTTTTTGTTTGCTAGGCTAATGATTTAAAATTTAAATTATCCTTTATACATTAGGAATGAAGTTTGCTTTCTCATGGACTAATTTCAATACCCCCAGGCACGCTAGTTTGTAAAACCAAGCTTCATATGAATGTAAATGGGAATGTCTAGGTCATCACATATATAAAACTCAACATAGCATGCTCCAGGAATCAGTCGCTGGGCTCAAAACTCTGTCAGGCTTGAGTCCTGTCTGGAAGTAGGATCCTGAGGGTATGACCAGTGACAGCTTGAGGAATCCCCTCTTAAGCTCCACTCTGTCTTATCATACCATTCCACCTCCCGGTTGCGAGGATTACGGGCCTGATACATACCGACTCCTTAGCAGTGACAAATCGGTTGTGGGAAGACGTCTTCCAAGAAATTATAAATTCCTTCCTTTTCTCAGATTAACTATCACTGATCAAACTTATAAAGTGAATGCAAGGCTTCTTTTAACATAATTAGGAAATGGATTTCATGTTTAAAACATTTATATTATTTATGTTTGGAACTTTTTGATAATTCTTAGTCATCAACTTATTCAAAATGTTAAATTGCCTCTGGGCAGGCCTTGGATAAAGTGTAAATTATGCTCTTTTTTCTTCTTTTATTCATGCTAAATTATGAAGAGTAGAATTTGTTTTATAAAGGTCTTCACTGACAACCTAATTTTTTAACCTGCAAGAAGATCTGTCTCTCAAACTGGGACGCTCAATCTCTCAACACCGTTTTATTGTGGAGGAAGAGCAACGATTTCTGTTTGCTTTAACGTGACTTTGGAAATAACTTATCTCTTAGGAGATTAGTAATAATTTTAGCCTAGAAATCCTTTTGAATGTGTCTGAGCCCCCCGGGGAGTGGGCAGGGTTTCCGTCTGTCCAAAGGGGGTCTCCCTAACTCTGGTCCAAGGGTTGGTTCTTTCCTACATCTCGTCGACATCCTACAGGATATGACAAATGGTGCCTGTAGATAGTTCCTACTGTCATCGGCTTCTCTGTCCACCAACGTGTAATTAGGAGACATGATAGGATAATTTAATCAGTTTTGAGTCTTGCGAAGGCGGAGATATTTGTCTCAAGTCAGAAGGAAGGACCTTGCCCGACTATCACCCTGTAACATTAAACTCTCCACTTAATCGTAGTTGATGGCATGTCCAGTTAATCTAAATACATGAATCTTTTATGTTAAAACACTGTTTAATGCTTTAGTGACTACCTGTCCACAAAGACCACCTGTCTACAAAGGCCACATTTGTTGTTTCCCTTGAAAATGGTTTCTCATTGAATCATGTACTAAAGTAACCTGTCTGCAAAGACCACCTGTCTACAAAGGCCACTTTTTGTGTTTAACTTGGGCGGTCGCTATAGACAGGTTTGACTTTACATGAGTTTCAACTTGAATTTTCTCATCATATTTCGCATGGCTTTCATCTCTATTACAAGTTGTTGTATTCCCTCTTGAGTCCTTGTTTCTTGAAATGCATCTCTTTTTAGGGTGGGATGGAAGTTGGTAGGGTAGTTGAACCATTGTAGGGTGGGTGAAGGAAGATGGGGCAGAGGAATTAGGGATAATTTTTATGTCACATATGGAATGAACGTTTCATGCTAGCTTTCAAAATGTTCAGAATAACTTTCAAAACTATCAAATGGTTGTATTTGAAATAATGTTCTTGATGTGATGAGTAGGCCTCTATTATAGGATTTAAAGGATTTTTCTAAACTGGTCAGCTCTAAGTTTGATCCACTCTATCTGATGCTACAGCTGGATGTGATTCATGATGCTATGTATCTTCGCCAAAGT